CTCCCTTGACAATTCTGACACCTAGTGGCTCTTGTAGGAACTGATCTTCCCTTCCCGCTGTCCACAATGACAATCCAGATACACAAGGTAAATGAATCAGGAAACGGGGGAAAAAAAGTTTTACCCACTGAAAAGTGGTTAAATAAGAGGGTTCTACTAAGAAATATATTTCTTATTTCTACTAAGAAATATATTTCTTATTTCTACTAAGAAATATAAGGAGCTCTGGTAACGCTGTGGTTACAAATCAGGCTGCTAACCTCAAGGTCAGCAATTGGAAACTACCAGCCATTCTGTGGGAGAAAGATGAGGCGTTCTGCTCCTGTAAAGATTTACAGCCTCAGAAACCCTGTACAAGGTCGCTATGAGTCGGAACCCACTCTAAGGCATATCACCACCCCCACCACTAAGAAATATAAATGAAGATGTATTTTTACACTTCCCCTTAACGAGAATGTCTCAGAGCACCTAACACCCTTCTGAGTGGAGTAACACTGTGCATGGGAGTTGTAATGCCTCTTTGTCATCGCCAACACTCGCCACACCTTCTCGCCTCAGAGCCTCTGCTCTTTCTCTGTCCCCTGACACTTGCCCTTCTTGATTCTGTACCATAATGAAACACTGTGTACCTTAAACTGAAAACTTTGCTTCAACTAAGTACTTACTCATTGTATGGCCCTGGGCAAGTCGTAGCTCTCTTACCTAGAAAATGGGAATGTTTGTATCCAGCAGAGATGGCAAGGTCAGTGGCAGCTCTGGGGTAAAATTCCCACCCTCCATGTGGGAGGTTTGGATTCAATTCCCAGTCATTCAGCTCATGGGCAATCACCTCCCATGTGTCATTGGATGTTTGTATGTTGCTGTGATGCTGAACATGTTTCAGTTTCACTTCTAGACTAAGACAGACTAGGAAGAAAGTCCTGCCAACCTACCTCTGAAAATCAGTGCACAAAAACCCAATGGATCAAGAGAATCTTATCTGCAACCCATCACAGGGATGGCACAGGACTGAACAGCATTTCCAGCCATTGTGCACAGACACCGTAAGTTGGACCAATTCAACTGCAATTAACAACCACCAGAGAGGGCTGTTGAACAGATTAACTTGTGCACTTAACAAAGGGGCTTGTTGTTATGTGCCATGGAGTTGGTTCTGATTCACAGCTACCCTAAACAAGGTTTCCAAGGCTGTAAATCTTTCCAGGAGCAGAAAGCCTCATCTTTCTCCCACGGAACAGCTGGTAGTTTCTAACTGCTGATCCCCATATGCCTCTTGTTGTCGTCATTGTCATCTCAGAAAATTTGGTTTCATCGACTAGACTGTAAGCTGCTGTTATCTGGCTGCTTACTTTCAGACCCAAGGCCAAGCACACAGCAAGTGCTCAGAAAACCCTTAGGATTCCCTACCCGTATCTTCAACTTCATGCCAAACCACTCACCCTACCTGCTCACTGAGCTCTGGTGGTTCTGACTGCCTTTCTATTCCTACTTCAAGGCCTTTACTCGTTCTGACCCTCTGCCTGCAATTCTCTTCCCCCCAGGTATTCTGCAGGACTGGGTTCTCCTTGTTCTATTCAAAGGTTACTTCTTTAGAGAGGTTCTTCCTGGTCACTTTGCCCTAAGTAACACCCCTACCCTCCTTCTCTCCATTTCATTTACTAGACCTACACAGGTTAAGTGCCTAAGTAGAAGCCCTGTTTGGCAAGGATGGCCTCAAGCAAGTTACTTAACCTCTCTGTGCTTCAGTTTTCTCATCTGTAAAAATGGAATAGTTTCCAACTCATCAGGTTCTTATGAAAATTCAATATATAAAAAGCTATTATTACATAAGCCTAATATATTTACTAAGGGCTATATCATACTGGTAATTATCTTGTTCATTGATTTGTGTTTATATGTTTATCTAAAATGTAAATTCCAGGAGAGTACATAATAGTTGCTCAATAAATATCTGATTGACTGGAAAGGCTCTTAGGGATATGCAGGCCTCTACCCAGCTGACATTTGGGTGTCATTGACAGGTGTAAATGACTGAGATGCCATCTCATTGTTTTGAGAGGGCCTGGGGTGCCCTCTTCTGGACAGTACATCATTTGTGCTTTAAAGGAAGCTGATAGGGGCTAGGCTATAATGTTCACAGATTCCCTGAGCAATGTAAACCGTTAATGTGCTTACTGCTAACAGAAAGGTTGGCTGTTCAGGGTTACCCAGAGGAACCTGGGAGAAAAGCCTGGTGCTCTGCTTCTGAAAAGCAGCCATTGAAAGCCTATGGAGCACAGTTCTACTGTGATTCACATGAGATCTCCATGGGTCAGGATCAAGCTGACGAAAACTGGTTTCCAGGAGAGTCTGACTCTGCCCTCTGGGGTCCAGAGCAACAAAGCTGAGAGACTAAGAGCATGCTCATTGGAGCCAGGTGCACCTAGATTAGAACTCTGCTTTCTCCAACTGTCCTCAGTCTCCTCCAGTGCAGAGAAGGGATAACAGTGTCCCCTTTCCGCCCTTACTCCTCAATGGATTATGATGACAAGCAGAAGGTATGGCAGACACAGCATGTGCCCTGGGTACTACTTGGGGGTGGGGCACCAATGAGCAGTTTTTTTCACCATTGAAGTTTCCATCACCAGCTGTGAGAGATCATTCAGCAATTTACACCTAATTGCCACCGACTGGCACTATTTTCCATAGATGCGCCTCTGGTGACAGGGCATTCCCAATGCACAGTGGGCCTTCATATCTCTGGAAGCTTCAGCCCTTTAGCGACTCAGGAGCAGATGCCTGGTCTTCCCCAGCTAAGTACCACAGGAGTGTCCACCTGTCCTGCCCCCAAGCCCTTCATCTCTCCTCTGTGGGCTCTGTGCCCTGAAGAGAAATCACCACAGCCTCTAGACAGCTGGCTCTTTACTCAGACATTGGCTAGAAATGGCCTCACTGAGCTTGCTTCATCCTACCTAACCCTCAACATCCTGGCTGCTCTGCCTCCCCCATTCTAGCCTCAAAAGTTGGCATTTCTATGAACCTTCTCCTGCCTTAATCTAGACTTGCTCCCAGACACTCACAGTACCCTGGGCCTTGGCTGCTACCCCCAACATTGCAGATGCGAGGTCTGCATCTCCAGGCCGGAGCACGCACCTAACTTCAGAAACCCACCCACCAGGGCACCTCAGACTTAGGGAGCTTATGACGGCTCCCACATCCCAACACTGACATCAGGCCCTTGACAGCACCCAGACTCCTGACCCTCACTGCCATCAACATCACCTGTGTCAGAGACAAGCAGCCTGCACTAGGCCAATACAGGCTCTGGCTCTCCCCAACACACTCATGCTAGCTCTTGTCCTTTACCGTCAACACAGAGCTTCCAGGAGGTAGAGGGGGGTAGATAAAGACTGGACTTCTTCCTTCTTGACTCCTCACACTGAATCCCCAGAATAAGGCAGTGCCTCCCTGACTGGTAACTACTGTGAATGTGAGCTGTGCGTCCCTGTACCACACTGGGAAATACCTAAGGAAGATACTGAGGAGACTAGGAATTCTCTGAGGGCAGGCCTAGGATGTGCTAGGGCAGGGGCTGGAGGGTCCCTAAGGCACCGGATACATCCCTTCCAATGGGGCTCCATCCTCATGAGACCACCTTTACTAGTCCTATCTTACTCCTATAGTTTCAACAGCCCACCCCACCTCCATAGGACCAGGCCAGAGGATGGGGCTTCAGGAATCATGAGTGAACGAATGAACTAATGAACAACTACAAGCAGGCACCAGCAGCCCAAACCCTACAACTCCCCACCTGAGCCGTCTTAGGCTTAGACACATAGGAAGCAGGAGAGGCACCATGATTTTGTGGGTCACCATCTGGGGGGTTAAGTGCTGTTGAGTCAGTTCCGACTCATAGCAACCCTGCGTAGGGTTTCCAAGGAGCAGTTGGTGAATTTGAACTGCTGACCTTGTGGTTCAAACCGACCTTGTGGTCCAGTGCTTTATCCCACAGCACCTAGATGGTGGATAGTTTAAGGCCCTCGACCACCCGCAGGGCCAGCAGCTGGAGTCCAGGAAAGGAGCTGAGTCTGAGGACTGCTGGGAGACAGAGCCAGGTACAGCACTCTCTCCCAGCCTAAAGGAACCCATCCATGGGTTAGCAAAATGTGAAGGACCCCTCTGGACAGAGCTTGGAAACTGACCAACAGCAGGACAGATGCTGTTGGCTACTGTCCAACCCAATACCAAGCCAGGAAGGCAGCATGAGTGGACCTGAACCAAGAGGGCCACACACCCAGCTGACCCCTTCGTGTGCTCTCCTACACTTGCTTTCACTGCTGAATGCCAGGAGAATTTGTATCCTAGACCTAGCACCAATCCCATCATCTTGCATTCTGAAGGTGCTGAGCAGCAGCTAGGCTGGAACTAAGCACTGGATAGAGAGACCTGGAGGGCACCCCACCCTCCACTCCTTTACCCAGTCCTGGGCAGCTTGGATGTCATCAGGCGCCAGGCCCCACTGGCCCCTCCTTGGCCCTCACAATCCCGGCCTTTGTCCAGCCCTGTGGCCCTGGCTGGGCTGGCTCTGCACAGGCCCATGGGCCCTGGAAACCGGAGCAGCTGGAGCCCCACCAAGTATTTTTCCAGCCTGGGCCAGGTGCCCTCAGGAGACTGGGAAGGGAGCAGGGGGGAGGGGAGGGCCAATTCATTCATCCATGTGTTCATTCATTCCTTCAACAAATATTTATTGAGCACCCACTTAGAGCAGGCACTACACTAGGTGCAGGAGATGGGGGAGAAGCAGTGAGAGCCAGCCCAGGCCCATGACCTCATAACCCTTACATTCTATTACATTCTAGCTGTGGGCTGCCAATGAGATGCAAATATATGTAGGCTTTATGCCTAGGAGGGCTGTTGTTGGGGCAAGGGATGGGAGAGTGGGGTGAAGGAGGCAAGGATGCTACAAGGACTACAGTAAGGCCTATCTATCCCCCTCCAGGACTGCTGAGGGGAGGGGTCAGTCAGGGTTCCACCCAGACGCTGCTGTTGGTCATCCGAGCCCCGAACCAGCCCTTCCAGTAGACGGAGTCCTTCCCCCCATGCTCGAAACGGATGAAGCGTACTCCAGGCCCATAGTCGGTGAAAGTGTGGGAGATCTGGGGAGGCAGGCAAGGGGGTCAAGCTGGGTGGCATCCCCCACCGCGGTGTCCTCCTGTCCAACCGCTGATCCCCAAGGGTGTTCTCAGCACCGGTGCGAGATGCCGGCTGCACCCACTGTGGGCGGAGTTTCCACAGACTCTCAACCCCCTGGAGTCTAAGCCCCGCCCCACTCCGCCACCCCAGCCCCTCCAGTTCACCTCAATCCATCCCCCTTCATCGGCTTCCTGGGGCACAGCCACCTGCCCACTGTTGAACTCGGCCAGCACGTCCTCGTGCTCGGACAGCAGCTTCACGGTGAGCTCATACACGCAGCCGGCGTCGCTGCGACTGGAGTACCTATCCCCAGGGAAGAAAGGAGCGCGGAAGGCACAGCCTCAGTCCAGATGGCGCGGACCATAGACTGGGCCTTCCACAGATGTCCTGTGTGCCCAACAAGGTCTGAGAAAGAAGGTGACTGTCCCAAGGTCAAACTAAACCCAAACCCACTGCCATAGGGGGTGTTTGTCTACTTACAGCCACCGTATTTGTGGTTTCTGAAGCTGTGAATCTTTATGGGAGCAGACAGCCTCACCTTTCTCCCATGTGGATTTGAACCCCCGAAATTACGGTTAGCAGCCCAATGTCTAATCCATAGAACCACCAGGGTTCCTTCTGGGTCCAACAACTAGGACTAAAACCCAGGTCCACCAGACACAACCTCAGGGCCAAAGCCAGCTCACACATGTTTTTTGAACTGCAGGTTTATTTTAATTTTTAATATACCATATGTATTTGCCAACATTTAAATCTCAGGAGGAAAGGGGTAGACTTCTACTTGCTCCTGAAAACTCACTGTCAACTCTTGCTCAAAGGCCCACGTGAGCATGAACCCAGAGTTAGGGGCAGCTGCTCCTCAGGCAGGGCACCAGCTCCAATTTGCCCCCTTCCCACCCCTCTGAGCAGCTCTGGCCCCAAGGCCACTCACCAGTCCTTCACCACGATGGCTGGCTGAGTCGTGTCCAGCACCTCCTCCCAGTAGCCTTCTGCCTGCAGGTCAACGATCTGCGCTTTGCGGCACCACCTGAGAGAACTGGGGTCAAGACAGAGTGGACACCCCAACCCCAACCCCTCCAGCCCTTTCTCCTTACTGAAAGGAGGAGACGAAGAACTTCTTGACGCTTTCATCATGGATGAATTCTGACCCACAGTCTCCTGGCAGTTCCTCCACCCTCCAGCCGTCCCCACCATGTTCCACATCACACCAGCCCTCCAAGTCATCTGTAGGGAAACAGCAGTCCACACTGCTCACCCTAGCCTGCTGTGGGCAGGGCAGTAGAGACTGAGTACTTGAGTGGTGGGCAGGGCAATAATTGTTGTGGTGAAGTGCTGGCGAGTCGGTTCCGACCCATAGCGACCCGGTATAGGGTTTTTAAGGAGTGCAGTGGCTCTGTAGGATAAGCACTACAAGATCGGTAGTTCGAGCCCATGAGCCACTCTGCTGCTCCGCAGGAAAAAAAATGAGGCTTTCTGCTCCCACAAAGATTTACAACCTTGAAACCCTATACAGGGTGGCTATGAGAGTCAGAACCGACTGGAAGGCACTTTTAACAACTCTGTACTAAGTAATGTGCCAAAACCAAACAGACTGGTCCTGAGATGGTCCACTTTTACAGAAAAGCAGCTGAGCGCCCTTGGCAGAGCAAACCACGGGGTAGTCCCTTACCTTCCCCGCACGCGTTGCGCAGCAAGTTGCGCCGCCGCTTGCTCAAGAAGTAGAACTGCTGCCAGTGGTCGCGCTCATCCTCTGTGCCGCCCTCGACCACCAGCCCCTCCTGCTGGCACTTGAGCAACCACAGGGGGGCGCCATCCACCAGCTCCTTCCAGCGCAGGCACACCAGGCGGCAAGCCTGCACAAGCTCAGAGGCCGGCAGCTCAGCCAGCACTCTCAGCAGCAAAGGCTCTGGCAGCTCCTCCAAGTACGCGCTCTCTTCCTCCTCGGGCTGGTCCTCCTCTGCGTTTCCCTCCTCTGCACACGCCTCCTCCGTCTGCTCCTCTGGGTTGGCCTCCTCAGGTTGGCCCACACTTTCTGTGGGTGGGAGTGAGTGGGTAGCTGCGATTCCTCACAGACTGTTCTCTTCCTCACCCCAGACTCACAACGTGCTCATTAGAATCCATTTCCCCTTCCTCTGACTACCCCCAGACTGGTGCCCAGTAGAGGCCCAAAGGGCCAGCATTAAGTCCCAAGAGGAGTTTCAGAAGACTGTTTCACCTTCTGGGGCCAAAAAACCACTTACATGAGCAGATAGCAGCAATGGTAATATGGCTTCTAATGACATCCACCTATAGCATTGTCCTAACGACTGTTTCAGAGCCTCTAGACGAGCTCCGGGGTAGCATAGTGGTTATGAATCGGGCTGCGAACAGCAAGGTCAGCAGTTTGAAACTACCAGCTGTTCCGCGAGAGAAAGAGGAGGTTTTCTGCTCCTGTAAAGATTCACAGCCTTGGAAACCCTGTACAGGGTCACTATGAGTTGGAACCAACTCCACGGCATATAACCACAACAACAGGTGGTGCACTTGGACTATGTGCTTGACTGCTTACCAAGAAGTTAGAGGTTCCAGTCCACCCAGAGGCGTCTCAGAAAAAAGGCCAATCTACTGCCCCCCCTCCAGAAAAAAAAAAACCAACCAGCCATTGAAAACACTATGGAGACACCATGAGCTGGAATCAAGTAGATGGGCCTGATTCAGGTACGTTTCACACATGAACTCCTTCAATCCTTCTAACCACCATGAGAACTCAGTTCTGTCACCTCCTCAAGGAAGCTGTCCTGGGATCCCTCCATTTACAGCCCGTATCCATCCCTCACTAACTTTTGTCCTACGGTGAGATGGTTTGATGAACACCTCTCCCTACTAAATGGAGCTCCATGGGCAGGAGCCAGGACTGGAAACTCCCTGCTTCACCTGGCATCTGGCATCTTGCCTGGTACGCTGCCAACAGCTTTGTTTATTGAGCACTTAGCAAGGGTCAGGCATTGGTCTGAGCATTTCAATTCTATTTACTCCTTAAATCTGTGAGAACTTAAAATCTCTTTGAGGATACGGCTAGTTCTGTCATGCTGTCCTTATGCCACTGATGAGGAAACTGAGGCAGAGAGGTTAAACAGCCCAGGATCACACAGCTAGTAAGTGGCTGGGTTTGGATTTGAGCCCAGGCAGCTAGCTCGAGCCACCTTTAACTGCAGCTTTGATAATCATCCAAGTAGGAGGCCTTGTTATGATTTTGCAGATGAAAACACACAGGTTCAGAAGTATACAGTGACTTGTGAAGGTCACTCTTAGTATTATGGCAGAGGACATGGGATCTGAGACTGGGAGAGGAAGAGCAGGAGGCACGATGCAGCAGAGGTCCCCCAAACAACCACTGTGGTGCGACCCGGAGATAGGACAAGAAGTTCTTTGAGAAAGACTATGTATATCTAACAGGTGCTTGGGAAAGGATGGTTTCTTTACCCTTCTGTGTTCCCATCCCTGACCCTCAGGTTCCTCATCTATAAATGAGGGTGTAATCTTTATGCCAGGCTACATGAACTGGACTAGTGTTCTAACCCCCTAAAGAGGGTACAAGGGCATTGTAGATTGTACGGATGGGCAGATGTGAGACATTAAAGGTGGAACTGTGTACTGGATCCCAGCTGGGCCATCACAGCCTTGAGTAAGCAGATACTCCATGCCTAATGATTGGGGGGAGGGAAGGAGTGGACAGTGGGGAAAGGATGGAGCCACTCTGGGTGATGGGGGAGGCCACCGCTCACAGACCTAGGACAGGGAATCCTGAAGGCTGGGCATTGTAAAGCCAGGAGGTAGGGGGAATATGGAAGTAGGTCAGGTACTCAGGGAGGGGGCAGGTGGCAGCACCTAGGCCCAAGTCCAGGTGCCGCCAGGACCCCACCTGCCAGCCCTGCGCCTCCTCACATACATTTTCTGCCTCTCCCATATAGTCAGCCCCGCTAGAGGCCTGGGTCTGTGTCAACCACCTCCTTGGAGCCCAGCCGGGGCCCTGGTAGCACAGTGGTTAAAATGTGCAGCTGCTACCTGAAAGATGGAAAGATCAGCAGTTTGAACCCACCAGCGAGCGGCTCCTCGGAAGAAAATTGTGGCAGTCTGCTTCCATAAGATGTACAGTCCTAGAAACCTTATGAGGCAGTTCTACTCTGTCCTAGAGGATTGCTGAGTCAGAATCGACTCATTGGGCAGTGGGTTCAGTTGGGGTGAAGCCCAGCACATAGTGAGTCCTCAGAAAATCAAGGCTTCCAACTGATTCAACCCCTGATGAGAATTTGCCTTTCCATCGCAGATGTACTAAATCAGAATCTACATTTATAACAGGATGTATATATCTGAATCACCTGAGAATCTTGTGAAACTGTAGATTGTGATTCAGTATATCTGAGATGGTGAGCCAATCATCACTACAGAATCAAGCCAGAGTGAAGCCATTTGAAGCCCTGCAGCAAACGCTAATGGAATCTCTTTATGAAACAGAGCAGTTTCTCTTCATTAGTGTATCTGTATTTTTTGCCACATCTTTATGATGGAGGAAGTACCCCTCCCTTTTTGTGAAGAAGACACTGAGGCCCAAAGAGATTTAGCAGAATAGCGGGGAGGTAAAGAGGGGATTGGCAGCTCCTGAAGCTACCTCACCTAACTATGTACCACCACAGCTCCCTAGGGAGCTGTGCCCAGTGTCCTCATCTCTCCACCCTGCCCCCCCCCATCCCTATCTTGGCCCCGGCAGACACCTGATGCTCTCAAAAGGTGCACCTCGCCCAGTACCCTCTCCTGGCCCAGGGCCTGGAACTGGAGGCCCCAGATCCCATTACAGCCCCCACCCCCTCTCCTGTGGACACAACTCCCCACATTGTTGCTGTCGGAAAGTTATCTGGCCCCTGGATGCTGACTCTTAGGCTGAGTCACCCACCTGGATTGGGCCCAGAGTCCATGGAATAGCTGGACCCTGGGAAAAAGCAGGAGCTGATTCTGGTACCCAAAAAATAGGATGTGGCAAGGGTGCCACAGACTAGGAGCCTGGGATGCAGAATTTTCAGGGCTGGAAGAGACCGGGAGCCGGCAGTACCACAGTGCTTCCCCCAAGCAGTGCCCACCCTCAGCTAGACCTGGGGGAAAGGGGTGAAGTTGGTCCCACCCTGACTCGGCAGGCAACACCTGTGGGCACAGAGGGAGTTGAGGAGCGGGTGTCTTTGGTTCCAAAGAAGATGACTGGGCAGACTCAGAGGGTCCTGAGCATAAGCCAAGAGCTGGCTCCAGCTCTCCCTCAGCCCTGACCTGATCTCCGCTGGGCTTCTGCTGCTTAGATAACCCAGCCCTTGGGAAACTGGGGGTGAGAACCTGGGATGACTCCAATGCTATTTCATGGGTAACTGGGGCCTACGCATCCTCCCCTCCAGCCTGACATCTCTTGGGGCCTCATGTCATACCAAGATCCCAAAGTAACGACCAGGATTGTACTATCAACGATTTGCTTGGGCGAAAGTTTGTCGTGCTGGGTCTTGGGGGGCTCCCTCGCTCTCGGATGACCCCCCTCTGCGGCGCTCGCTGCCTGCCAGTCTCCCCTCCCGGGCTGGAGCGAGTGGGTCCGGGCGGCGGCAGCTACCTGGGTCTCCGTCTCCGTCCATCGCTGCAGTGGGCGGTCGCGAGAGGAACCGAAGCGCTGCGGGGTTGCGGTGGCGAGTCCAGGCGCTGCTAGCGTCTAGGTCCGGTTGGCGGCGCCTCTTTAAGGCTGCCTTGCCCCGCCCTGCCCGGCCCCGCCTCACCTTTGGCTCGGCGCCTGGACGCCCCGCAGTCCGAACTGTCGGTCCGAGACTGCGGACCCAGGAGGCTTGGAAAGGTCACAAGTCGGTTTTCTGTATTTGGGGGTGGCCAATTGAAGGTGTCTTCCAGCGCTAATCTGGGGTGGCTACGGGGAGGAGATGGCGCGGGGGACACAGTCTGGGTCACACAGAGAGGGTGCGGGACCTACCGCGGGAGCGGAGGAAGGGAGGGCCGGAGTTTCCTCCCGCCCCCCAGGTAATTTTCCTACTTCTCCATTGGGGGTGCATCCCCTGCCTGGAGTTCTTCAGCGCGGCGCAAGGGGCGGTGCCTGGGAGGGGAGGTGGGGTTGCAACGCCGGCGGCAGTAGGCTGAGCCTGGAGCTGAACATCCCTGCCCCGAGCTGGATCGTACAGCGGAGACCGAGCGCAGGTGACCGGTAGAAGGGACCGCGGGGGCGCCGGAGTAGGGCGCAGCCCGGTGGGGCGACCAGCGAGCTCATCGGTTCCCAGCCGTTCCGCGGTGCACAGAGAGAGGCCCAGCGCGGGCAAAGCCCAGGCCGCCACGCTTCTTCAGGCTGCGCTGCGGCCACGAACAGCAAGGCGGCGAGAACCAGGTCTGGGGTCGCCCCATCAAGGCTCAAGGGCATAAGTCCCAACCTTGGGGACGTGTTAAAAACATAATGTAACGGATGGGGGGGGGGGGGTCGTAGGCGTGCTGGGGGCCTTGGGACTGAAGCCCAGCCACGGGAGCGGAGGTGGGACAGCAAAGGCCCTTCCCAGCGCCCACCACTCGATTTTGGCAGATTATTTCCCCCTGTGAGTTTGAGATTTTCCTTTGACCCCTTTGAGTCTCCATCGAAAACTATGATCATTATCCCCTCGCCCACAATTGCCCATCCCTTCACCACGTCTTGAGGACGGAGACAATAGAGATGGTACGGGCAAGCTGGGGTGCTCTGCCGAGCTGCAGCGTTGTTAGTCTCACCTTAGAGCGGCACCCATGGAAAAAGGCAGACTCCAGAGGCAGAGCACACCGGGCTCCTGACCACCTTCTGTCCCTGCCTCTGTGACCTTGGGCATTTCTCCAGGCCCTCTTACCGGCCCCAGTGGCCACCATGAGGTGCAGTGAAAAAATGAGAGCTCTCCTTTGATTAAGCACCTGTTGTGTCTCTGGTTTGTTGAACCCTCCCACTGAGCCCAAGAGGCGAGGCGAGTACTGCTCAGGGTCCCATTTTACATAGGAGGAAACCAAAGCTTGGAGAAGCACAGTGACTTTCCTGAGTTAGTAAACGCCAAACTGGGATAAGGACCACCATCCCACAAGTTGCTACAAATACCAAAGGTCCTGGGGGAAGGGTTTGACCTTTAATGGAACTTTTCAATAACCTCAGGAGAGTGTCTGGAAGCCACCAGCCATGGCTGTGGGGAACATCAATGAGCTACCGGAGAACACCCTCCTGGAGCTCTTCACCCATGTGCCTGCCCGCCAGCTGCTGCTACACTGCCGCCTAGTCTGCAGCCTCTGGCGTGACCTCATCGACCTTGTGACCCTCTGGAAACGTAAGTGTCTGCGTGATGGCTTCATCACTGAAGACTGGGACCAACCCGTGGCCGACTGGAAGATCTTCTACTTCCTCCGCAGCCTCCATAGGAACCTCCTGCACAACCCCTGTGCTGAAGGTGGGGTACCAGTGAATCTGATATGTCCCCACCCCCATGCCCAGTAGTCATACCAGCTAATATTTATTGAGTTGTATGTGGAATCCCTGGGTGGTGCAGACAGCTATGGTTAAGTGTTTGGCTACTAACCAGTCTCGTGGCTTCAATTCACCCAGAGGCACTTGAGAAGAAAGGTCCCAGGATCTACTTCTGATAGATCCTTAGATCTCCATTAGGTTTTTGATAACCTAATGGAGCACTTTTCTACTCTGAAACGTGGGGTCACCAAGAATCACTGCATCAACTCAATAGAAACAGATTGGTTTGGGTTTGGGTACCATGCTAAGTACTTAGGATGGTTAAACTTTAATCATCTCTCAGTAACTCTAAAAGGCAGTTACTTTAAGTATACCCTTTCTTCAGTTGCACAAAAAGGCCAACAGTGGCATTTCTTATTCCACTCATAAGATATTTCCCACGAAGAGGAAAATTTGGCTGATTGGGACTAATTGTGTCCAAGACACAAGACCAGGAAGTCCGAATCATATTTTGTTGACCTGGATCCCAGATTCCAGGATTAGACCTACTGAGACCATCCCTGAGGGCAAAGGGGACTTTGCTCATGGAAGAGAGGTACAGTTTTCTTTCTGCCATGTTACCACCACAGTCAAAGTTTCTTCAGCCATCAGAACCTCCTTCCCCTACTGGGTTGTCAGAAGTCAGCTGGACACTCTAATGAAAGGGTCTCAGAACTTAGTCCTCTACCACATGACCAAATTCTGGAACAAAATGATAAAACAACCCCTCAAGGCAGTCCACCCCATGCCTTGTCTCAGTTGACTTCCCAAGAACCATGTTCTTGACTGGCATTTGTCAAAATGTGGTCCCTGAACCCAATTCTAAACATAGTTTTGACATTCTTAAAGGGTTGAAAATAAAGATTATGTGATAGAAACAGCATATGATCTGTTGTTAAGTGCCATCGAGTCAATTCTGACCTGTATAGGGTTTCTGAGGAGCATTTGGTGAGCTTGAACTACCGACCTTGCAGTTCAAATGACTTTACAGTCTGATGCATTAGCCAACAGCGCCACACCAGGACTCCTATATGATCTGTAGAGCCTAAAATATTTACTTTCTGGCCCTTTACAACCCCTGTTCTTGAGCTCAGTTTAAGAGAAGAAAACCAAAGTTAAGAGAGGGAAAGTCAAATGCTTAAGATTACTCAGCACATCAGTGATAGAGCTGGAAATAGGACTCAGGTCTGTCTGGCCCAGGTTAGAACATACCCCGTCACGGAAAGGAACAGGTGTGATTTTCTGTCATCAAACATCTCTGGATTCCCATTGGCAATCACTCAGCGTGGTGTTTAGCAGATTGTTATTAAGTGCCATCGAGTCAGTTCCAACTCATAGTGACCCTCTAGAGGGTTTCCAAGGAGCGACTGGTGAGCTTAAACCACCAACCTTGCAGTTCAAACTGACTGTGCAGTCTAGCGCATTAACCCACAGCACCACACTAGGACTCCTTAGTAGGAGGTGAGGACTGTTGATCTACAATGTCCCAAGGTACAAGGCTCAGGGCACCTGGGGAGATCTAGGGAGAGAAATAGGAGGAGGGGGCACTTGAGAGAAGGTGATCAGCAGGGGCTTCCTTTCATATGAAGTCTGCTTTTCTTCCAGAGGGGTTTGAGTTCTGGAGCCTGGACGTGAATGGCGGAGATGAATGGAAGGTGGAGGATCTCTCTAGAGACCAGAGAAAGGAGTTCCCCAGTGGCCAGGTCAAGAAATACTTCGTGACTTCTTATTAGTAAGATCCAAGGCCCATAGTCTCAGGGTGGGGGCAGCCCAAGTCACTTCCCCTTGGGGTCTCTCCCTCCCCCGGGAGGGACAGTCCCAGACCCCAGTGCCCTAGAGGTGAGTCCCAGCCCCTCCCATCCCTCCACCTGCCTCCAGCACCTGCCTCAAGTCCCAGGTGGTGGACCTCAAGGCTGAAGGGTATTGGGAGGAACTGATGGATACCACACGGCCGGACATCGAGGTCAAGGACTGGTGAGTGCCTGGGGCGAGGGTCTGGGGTGGGGCCTGCCACTCTGGTGCCCCATCCCCACCCTGCCCCCCACCTCCAAGGTTCTGATGGACCCTTCCTCTGCTTGCAGGTTCGCAGCCAGGCCAGACTGCGGGTCCAAGTACCAGCTGTCTGTTCAGCTCCTGTCATCAGCGCATGCACCTCTGGGGACCTTCCAGCCAGACCCAGCGATGATCCAGCAGAAGAGCGATGCCAAGTGGAGAGAGGTGTGTGGGCTGAGGATGGAGACGAGGGACATCTATCTCTCAAGGCTGAGACTACAATCAGATAAGTCTGGGTTCAAATCCCAACTCTGCTGCTTCTCATCTGGGCTTCAGTTGTTCTGAGTTTTAGTTTCTTCATCCTTAGAGCTCAGTGAGTTCTGAAAGAAGTCAGTGGGATGGTGCTGGTAAAACAGCCCAAAGAAATGTTCAAAAAGGTTGACTGCTATTGATTGTTGTTAAATGCTATTGAGTCGTCGGTTCCAACTCATAGTGACCCGGTATAGAGTTTCCAAGGAGCAGCTGGTGAGTTTGAACCACTGACTTTGTGGTTCAAACTGACCTTGCAGTCCTGCACTTATCCTACGGTGCCACACCAGAACTCCCACTATTGATTACTGATATTATTACCATTTTCTAGACCAGGAGTCCTAGTGTGGCACTGCAGGATAATGCAGTGGACTACAAAGTTAGTGTGAACTGCAAGATCAGCGGTTCAAATCCACCTGCTGCTCCTCAGAAACCCTAGACAGGGTTGCTATGAGTCAGAACCGACTAGGCGACACTTAACACAACATTTTCTAGACCAAGGATCAGCAAAGTATTTTTTTGTTGTTTTATTTTTGTGAATTGAGTGATAGCTTACATGGGAGAACGTCGGCTTTACACCATCGTTTCATTGCATTGATTACAATCTCCTCCATGCATCACATCATCATTCAACAGTATGTTCTTTTATTCTGTGTTTGTAATGTACACAAAAACCAAAGGGCACATTCTGTAAGCCTGCTTCCTGGCCTCCAGCACACAGCCTTTCTCTTTCCATGAGTCTGGAGTCCTTAGCTGCTCTACCTCTCCATGTCTTCATCTCTGCCTTCAGCTCTGGTGTCGGTGCTTCTCTGGATAAGGTCCCACATTCCACTCGTGCTCTTCTCCTTTGATGGTCCTAGGGTCCTCTGTCTTGGACTGTAAGATTAACTGCTCCCCCTTTTTTGTTACAAAACTTCTACCTTTACAATTGTGGCAATTGCAATTAGTCATGATAACAATTACTCACTATTGAATCATAAGAATCTCATCCCCATCTCCTTCCACCAGACCCATGTTGACAAGAAGAAAACTATTCAGTGGGGACTCTACTTTTCCCTGCACACTCTGAAACTAAACTCCCTCTTGAAAACTTGCAAGCCAGTCACTTTGTTTTATTGCCCCCATGATCAGCAAAATATTCTTAAAGGGCCATACTGTGTCCCAGTGATTCAACTCTATTTCAGCATGAAAGGAAGCTTAGACAACATGTAAATGAAATTTGTAAAACTTTATAAGAACCAGCAGCTATTCCACTGGCCCAAGTTTACCTGTCCCTGGTCTAGACCAGCGCTATCTCGTAGAACTTTCAGCAGTGAATAGGAATAACCACATGTGACTACTGAGCCTTTTATAAAAGGCAGTTCTTGAGTAGGGGGCTGAATTTTTCATTTTAATTCACTTAAATGGCCTCATTGGCCAGTGACAACCATATTGGACACAGCAGGTCTAGATACCCTTTGGCAATTTTCAGCTCCATTGATCTGTATACTGTCCAACAGACGGAGGTAGCAAGACTTAGCTCCATTTTACAGATGAGGAAACTGAAGCCTAGAGAATGAAGTTGTTGTTAAGTGCCGTCGAGTTGGTTCCGACCCATAGCAACCCTGTATAGGGTTTCCGAGGAGCAGCTGGTGAGCTTGAACCGCCAACCTTGCAGTTAAAACGGCTTTGTGCATTAACCCACAGCGCCACACCAGGACTCTAGAGAATCAAGTGGTGGTGGTGGCGTGCTGTGGAGTCGGTTCCGACTCATAGCGACCCTGCATAGGGTTTCCATTGTAAATCTTTACAGGAGCAGAAAGCCTCATCTTTCTCCCATGAACAGCTGGTAGTTTCGAACTGCTGACCTTGAGGTTAGCAGCCCGATTAGTAGCCACTGAGCTACCAGCGCTCTTTCTCCAATACTAGGAGCTCCGCCCCTTCTCCACTCCCCTGCCCCTTCAAGCAGTACTGTCCTGCTTAGAGTCAGCTCCTCTGACCTTTCTCCTTCCCTCTACCTGCCCCCTTCCCAGGTCTCCCACACATTCTCCAACTACCCACCCGGCGTCCGCTACATCTGGTTTCAGCACGGCAGCGTGGACACTCGCTACTGGGCTGGCTGGTACGGCCCAAGGGTCACCAACAGCAGCATCACCATTGGGCCCCCACTGCCTTGACACCCCCAAGTTCCCACCTGCCAGACCCTTACTGGTAAATTGCTGTCAAAGAAGGAGCAGGCTTGAGAAGGAGAGGTGGGGGCCAAGCCCCGTAGTTCACCCTTGCCCCACAGTTGCCTGATTCTTGTGGCACCTCTTGGTTTGTGAATCCCTCACCTCTTATTGGGACCAGCCCTCCACCCACCTGAGTTCTTGGCCTAAATGGTGGCAGGAAGGCCTGCATGGGCCCCTTTAATAGACAGGGACTTCCCCACCCCAGGCTTCTTTGGGAGTGGGACTCCAACCTAGATCTGCATCTCTGCCTTCCTTTCTTGGGACCTTTCTCTCTGTGCTGTCTGGAGGGCCTCGGACCCAGGAGATTGGCAGGCTGGTGAACGTGGATAGTGCAGGCGTTCTGAAGCTACCATGTCACTGAGACACAGCTGAGGGAAAGCCCTGTGTGGGGAGGGATCCAGGCTGGGTATGAACTGTCCTCATCTCACTGTAGCCCCAGAAGCTACATGGGTATCAGGTAGAGGCAGGGGACCCCCAGAATCCTGCCCAGGGTGACCCAGAGCAGATGGCGAAAAGGATTGAGCTCCAATTCTGAGAACTGGGGCAAGCGAGCCCTGGATGAGTGGATGGGGGCTTGCCAAGGACCACCCATTCACCTCCATACACAGGTGACCTGGAGATGTTCCAGGCCCCCAGCCCACCTTTAGAACTGCCATTTTCAGGACCTCCCCACGTTCCTGCTGGAAGTACAGCAGTACCTCCTTCTGATCCCACCCCTGCTGCATGTAGCCAAATAAAGTGCCTCCAGCCCAGATGGTGCGCTGTGGTTTCTGGGAGAAAAGTCAGACCTGGCAGGAAGCCCTGCCCCAGGCCTGGCAGAAGATGTAGCTTGTGACTGGTGCCCACTTCACAGAGAGGTTCTCATTGCAGATTACAGAACAGGATCTAGGGGACAGACCCTTTATAAAGAGCTTCCCAAACATCTGAGGAGGTCTGACCCAATGCTGGGGGTAGGTGGATGTGGATGTTGGGTCAGAGGTGCCTTCATAAACACTGGTTACTGTAGACAATAAAGTCCAAGAATCTAGAATATTGCTTGGCACACAGTAGGTACTCAATTCATTAAATGCAACTATGTCACTTGGTAAGATGAGGACCTGGCCTGGGGTCAGTGCAGGGACCAAGTTAGAGAAAAGGTGTGTCTTGAAGATGCAGCCTTAGCTGCAGTTACCTTTTTGACCTGGGCCAGATGCCCTTGTGCATTGCATAACTGCATGTAGTTTTCTAAAGTAGGTGCTGCATAAATATTTGTTTAATGAAGGTGGGAATGAACTAATTTACTCCGGGCCAAAAGTCAGAGAGGTTTTTACCTTTGAGTTCATTGAATCCTGCCTGGAGTCACACACCCCATGAGACACATAGCCAGGTTCAAGTCCAGAAAGTCAGCTCTCAAACCTTACCATAAGGAAGGAGCCCTTGGGACAGGGCTGGAAAGGGCTCCACCTGCATTGAAGTGGGACCAGGTGATAGGAGGGCTAAGAAGGTGCCGCGAAGGGGCAGGACTTGCCTGGGTGGGGACTCACCGGGCTTCTCTCTGAAGAACAGAAGTCCTGAGAAGCGTGGTGGCTCTGTAGAATAAGCACTAAACTGCAAACCATAAGGTCTACAGTTCCAGCCGCTCCACGGGAGAAAGATGAAGATTTCTGCTCCGGAAAAGACATACAGGGTAGTTATGAGTTGGAACCGACTCAACAGTACTCCACAGTAGTGGAGTTCTAGTATGGTGCTGGACTGCTCACCGCAAAATCGGCGGTTCAAACCTAGCAGACGAGCCTCGGAAATCCTGTACAGGGTTCACTATAAGTGGGAAGTCTACGGCAGTTAGTCCTTACTGCTGAGTTGCCCCACATCTGGAGAGAAAGACAGTGATTCAGGAACCAAGCTGAGGCCCTAGTGCCTGGTATTCCACATTGGGTCCTGGGTCCGGAGGCCCAAACCTTCCCTTCAGTGTTGTGCTCCTGCTGCCAAGCCCAAATGTGGACGTGGGGGTGGGGCCCCGCTTTGGGCGTGGCGAGCAGGTCCCGGAGCAGACCCGTAGAGGGCGTGACCAGCCAGCCCTGAGCGCTGGCGGCGACCGGAGGCCAGCTGACTCCAGGCGGATCCCAACTCCCGTGCTGTACGGGCGCCCGCCCGGCACCACAGGTCTCGGCCCAGCCAGGAGGAGGAGAAAGGCAGCGAGGTAAGGGACCTGCGTCCCCAGCAGGGTGGGAGCACCGGGTGGTCTCTGAGCCCGCAGACGCGGGGTTCCGGGCGGTAGGGGCGGAGTTCCGGGCGGCGCGCGGGGGACGCGGGTTGGTGGCTCCTATCGGGTCACGCACTGTGCGGCATCCCGGGTTGTCGGGCCTTACTCCTGCCGGGGTTCCGTCACGCTTCCGCCCAGACCGAAGATCGGCTTCCGCGTTCACCAGGCCACTCCCCCGAACGCCTTAACAACAGTGTCTGGAGGGGTTGGGAGGGTCGAAGAAAGGTCTGGTATGTGGGAAACTTAAGCAGTGTGCGGAATGTTTTAGAGCTGAGGTTGACTTGTTCGCGGCAAAATCCCTTAGGGTATCCTTTACCGAGCCTTTTCCCGCAGTCACGCTTCTCCCTAGGAACAGCGGAAACAGGGGCGTTGGCTGGGGCGGGCGAGAAAATGCTGCTGGAGCCAGAGTTAAGGCCGCGGCAGGAGCTTCTTGTAAACAAGATGCCTCTTACCCAGAGCCTACCACCGGTATTTAGTCTAGACATACATGTTTTTCGAAGTTGGAAACATTTAAAAATGGACATTTTGTATATATATATTTTTTTTACAATTGTTCCTGACATACAGAACACCTGATTATGTTGGGCCTATTTTTTACCCTATCATAGTACATTCACAACCTATTTTATTTATGTGCATGTTTTTAATCTGCCACGCTAAAGTGCCCAGGCAGGTGCCTAAGTGTATGGCCAAGTGGAGTACTCACATTCTTTTTCGGGGTTGGAAGTGCTTGGAAAATGAGAAGAGGCTGGGCGTTTCCGTACATGTATGCCTTAGTCAGCATTCTCTTCTCAGTGATGAGTCATGAGCAGATGAGACCTGAGTAATACAGCTGCCGGCCCACTCCAACCCACCTGGGGTATGTACAGCTACAGATTCACACCAGGGCTGTGCTACGGTCTGGAACTTTTGCAAAACCCTTGTGCAATTTAAAAAGCAGGCTGGGACAAGCTACCTTGTTGCTGCTGTGTATGGTGGAGTCCGTTGGACTCAGCCACCCGTGTCGGGTTTCTGAGGCTGTAAATTCTTAAGGGATCAGAAAGTCTCGTCTTTCTCCCTCAGAGCGGCTGGTGGATTTGAACCACTGACCTATTACGCAGCCACAACCCACCAAGGTGGTGGTTTATGTGCCAAGGAGTTGGTTCCCACTCATAGCGACCTTGTGTTGGATTAACGAGGCTGTCAATCTTTACCGGAGTAGAAAGCCTTTCTTTCTCCCTTGGAGCCACTGGTAGATCCAAACTACTGATCTTGTGGTTATAAGCCCAGCTCATAATCCACTATGCTACCTGGGCTGCTTACCACCCACCTTCGGGGTGTTCACAATGATGCTAATGTGTGCTGAGAACACTACCACTAAATGGTTTACTTGTACGAACTTTCTTTTTGAGGTCAGTTCCCATCTCCTTTGAGCCTCCTAGCCAGTTCATGCAGACCAGAATTTGTACAGTCTGGCTCCAGCATCTTTAATTTGCTGTTTGTTCTCTGAACATCTGAAAGTGGGCTCTGGCCTGACATTCCAGTGCAGCCAGCCAGGAGCTGAGAGCCTCCAGTATCTCATTCACTTCCAGGCTGAAGCATGGGATATGGGGAAGGGGGGTCATTTCTTGGCACTAGCTCCATCTCTTGGAATCTTGGTGTGGTGCTGTGCGTTAACACGCTGGACTGCAAAGCCAGTTTGAACTGCAAGGTTGGTGCTTCAGGCTCACCAGCAGCTCCTCAGAAACCCTATACAGGGTCACTATGGACCGGACTCAGTGGTACTTAACAGCAGATGTCATTAATAGACAATTGAAGGATATCTTGGGTTGTAAATTTTTTTAAGAGTAAATTTGCAGCATTAGCAGAACAGTGGTCACCAGAGACCCTTGCAGAAGTTGGCAGAGCTGACAGACAATTCACTTGGCCCATTGGCTCCAAAAGTAAGCAATTCTTACAGCGCTGTCGGTTCAGCACTGAACCACCAGCTGCCCTTGGGAGCCTTACACAGGGTTATGAGTCCAAACCTACTCAATGGCACACAATTTCTTAATGGGAGTGGGACAGGGCAGGTGGGAGGTAGTTTAAAGAAATTGTCCCTAAAGATTATTAATATTTATGTTGCTTTCTTTCAAATATGTATAATGTGAAACTGCTCTGCATTCTACCATGTGCTGGAATCCTGGTGTGGCACTGTGAGATAAGCACTGAACCACAAGGTCGGTAGTTCAAACTTACCAACCACTTTTTGGAAACCCTATACAGAGTTGCTGTTAGAACTGATTGGTCGGCACTAACAACCACAAGGGAAGGACCCTTGGAAACCTTTTTTAAACCTTTTGGTCACAAAAGCAGCTGAGGATGAGTCTCACTGTTGTCCCCCTACAGGCCTGTGTGTGCACAGCCATGCCCCTGATCAACATCAACCAGCTGCCGGAAAACACCCTCCTGGAACTCTTTACCCATGTGCCTGCCCATGAGCTGCTGAGGAATTGCCGCCTAGTCTGTAGTCTCTGGCGTGACCTCATTGATGCTGTGACCCTCTGGAAGCACAAGAGCCTGCGTGATGGCTTCATCACTGAAGACTGGGACCAACCCGTAGCCGACTGGAAGATCTTCTATTTCCTGTGCAGCCTCCGCCGGAATCTCCTGCGCAACCCCTGTGCAGAAGGTGGGCTGTGGGGTGAGGGTACGGGGGCAGGCTAGTGACCCAATTCCCTTTCCTGAACCTCAGGACCTTTACACTTGCTGTTCTCATGTCACCTGGACTATTCTCCCAAACACACAACACCCAGCACCCCCTGCTTGGCATTGCCTGGCTGGTTCCTCCACCAGGTGGGTCTCAGTTCAGAGGTATGCCCTGGCCCTCCCCACCCCCCATCAAAATGCTCCCACACCTGTCGTGTCACCCCCCCACCTTAAGTTCCTTCAGAGAACCTTCACAACCTGAAATGAAGTGTTTTACTTTTTTTATTTTCTCTGCCCCCAAACTTTCAAGTTCCACGGACCTAATGGATCGTTTGCCACTCTGTACCTGGCACCTGCAACTGTGCCTTCACACAGCAGATGCTGCAGAAACATTGCTGTATGAGCTCTGTGCCGATCCACCTTTCCTTGTTAGTTCAGCCCACACTGCTCACTGTCTGTCCAGGGCTCCCTCTGTGCCAGGCACTGGACTAGTTTGAAGTCTTTACAGAGGTCATTAACACCAGTTGTTGAGTCGATCCTGACTCCTGGAGACTCCACATTGATCAGAGTAGAACTGTACTCCATAGAGGTTTTCAGTGGCTGCTGCTTCAGAAGATCACTAGGCCTCTCTTTCAAGACACTTCTGGGTGGGCTTGAACCTCCAACCTTTCAGTTAGCAACTGAGTGCATTAACTGTTGCCCATCCAAGGCCTTCACAAATGTAATTACTCTCCGGTTAGCCTCAATGTACAGAGAAAGAAAATGAGGATCTTGAGAGTCGACTGTGATCAGAGTTTGAGGACCGTCTTTGGCTCGTGCAGTGTCCTTCTGTATTTGCCAGGGTTTCCCCTTTATTTGGTCAGCACCTGTTCTGCACCAGACACTGCTACTTATTGGGGCCCCCTGCAGTGATTGATTAAGAGGCAGAGTTTGTGTGCTTAGAATCACTTTCATATCTATTATATTTTTTCTCTGTCCTCACAAGGACTTTGGGAGTTAGTTGAACAAGTAAGGTTGTTTTATAGATGGGAAGCTTCAGACTCCAAGAGGAGTCTCCAAAGACCCAGAACTGCCCAGCTGTGTGGCTGGGCCCCACTGACAATGCCCTAGATACTGAATCTCTCTTCCTGGCCCAGATTCTATTTAGAAGCTGCCCAGCCAGGCAGTCCTGCTCAGCTCAGCTTTGTCCCCTGCCCTTACAGAGGCACCCCACAGCCCGGCCTTGCTCCCACCCTAGGCTTACCTATGGTGCCAGCCTAGCTGCTGGATTTCTGTATTCTTCCACTTCTCACCAGGCCACCCCGACCCCACAGCACCCCAGGAAGAGGTGTGGGCTCCTGGCAGGGTGGGGGCAGGAGACTAGGTGGGAGAGCAACCAGGGAGTAATTTGGAAAACTCTTCTAGATAATCGTGGACAGCCTTCGGAGAGAACTATTTGTTATATAGTCTACGTTCAGTCTTAGACCTGAACATAGCTCTGGTAGTGTAGTGGTTTACAAGTTGGGCTGCTCACCTCGAGGGCAGCAGTTCGAAACTACCAACCATTTACGGGAGAAAGATGAGGTTTTCTGCTCCCATAAAGATTTACAGCCTTGGAAACCCTATGCAGGCTCACTCTGGATTGGAAGTGACTCCATGGCACTCCACCACCACCAAGTTCAGTCTAAAAAGGAATGCCGGGCAAGACAGCTTTGCAACTTTGAACGTGCTAAGCGACCCTTCCACAAATACAGTCACAGCATACCCCCAACCCAGAGGCTGCCTGTTCTGAGTCCTAATGACAGATCTGTTCCCACCATCCATAGCAAACCCATCTGTAGAGCCTCTCCGACTGCTCAGGTCTGTTACCCAAGGGCTCCGGGCTCCTCCCTCTTGGACATAGGACAGCTCATCCAGCAACAAACCCACACCTGCCATGAACAAGGCCCTCATCACAGGCCCTGATGAATTTAATTCTTGGACAACAGAGGCTTGAGTATTTCCCAGAGCTCCAGAGAAACATGGGAGAGCAACAACGTCTGTTTGTATATTTCTGGAAATACTGTTTTCCAGCTTCATGTCAAGCCAGTTGGAGACCAAATGGGAGAGAGAAGGTCCCAGGTCAAAAAGGATATGGAGAAGAGGGAATGTGTGGAGGAAGGGAACTTTGGAGTGGGGAATCCATGGTCAGTGGTTGGGAAGTTGAAGTACTGCCTGGGGTTACTTAGGAAGCAAGATGATAATAGCCCCAAAGATCTTAGAGCAGAAGCAAGCCCTGCATTTAGGAGGAACTCTAACTTTCCCCTCTCCATCCGGGGCCTGATGGGGCACTCACCTCAGCATCTGTTCTGTCTAGAGGAGATGGGATCCTGGCGAATTGACTTCAATGGCGGTAACAACTGGAAGGTGGAGAGTCTCCCAGGAGAGCATGGGGCAGATTTTCCTGACCCCAAAGTGAAGAAGTACTTTGTCACATCCTACGGGTGAGCCACGCCGAACCAAGCAGGCAGGTGGGCCAACTCTGGCAGTATTTTGAGAGGGAAGCACATCGTCTTTTGCCAAATCTCAGTCCTAATAAGTGAGGTCCTCTCTGTGAAGCTTGGGGGAGCTGGTTCCAAGACCTGCTGCCTTGAGAAGTAAACTCAGTGGCTGGGTCAGCAGGCAATTGAGGTGAAGATCATTTCCCGGCAGCCAGGATCCCCACTGCCAGGTAAATCAGGAGCTCACAGAGGACACCCCAAAGTCTCCCCGGTGCCCTGGGCCAGAGGCAGAAAGCTGCCATGGGACCTGCATCCTGCCCTTCCAGTCCAGGATCAAATGCTACCCAGGCACAAGTGGGTCGGATTTCCTGCCCATGTTTTTCACAGGCCTGTGCCGCTAGGGAAGAGCAAGCAGGAAACAGCACTGTTAGTGCCTGTCCTGAGTGGTCAGGGGACACCACCAGGGTGATCGCCCGGAGCTAGCCCACAGACTGCCTCCCTGGGCTCAGAGGGGCTGCCAGGGCCTGGCCAGAGCCATGCAGAGCACAACTAGGGCTGCAAGTCTTCTCTCTGTCCCCAGCATGTGCCTCAAGTCCCAGCTGATAGACCTCAAGGCCGAGGGCTACTGGGAGGAGCTGCTAGACACGTTCCGGCCTGACATTGTGGTCAAGGACTGGTGAGTGGGGCCCCTCGTGTCCCCACACTCTGCACCCTTCCCCCTTCTTTGCCTGCAATTCAGTGAGTGAGAAAACCCACGGGAGCACCCACTCTATGCCCAGCTATGTCCTGGGCCTGGCAGGCCTGGTCCTGCCTTCCTCTGCCAACACCCAGCACTTGTTCCTCAAGCAGCACCTCTCAGCCTCCCACCACACCATGAAAACATCAGCCCAGTGTGCAGCTGGAGAGACTGAGGTTTACAGAGGAGCTGTCACAAATGGGCCCTGGTCCAACAAACAGCCAAGACCCCAGCCCTCCCAGGAACCTAGAGACATTCACTTGCCTTTTTGCCTCCCTGTCTCCTCACCCTCTTTCCATTAGTTACCGTACACAGAGCTTGCAGGGCTATGGCTTGGTGCTCATAGCAGAAGGCAGCTCAGCTGTAGCCAGGGCTCCGGCCATTTGCTCAGAGAGTAGAAGGGTGGGATCTGAGGGTATACAGGGCTACACAGAGCACCCCTTTCACATAGGCCATACCCCTGGAATCTCCACAGCCCAATCCAGGAGGGTGGCAAGTGACATCACTGAGCCACAAGACCCTTCTTTCTACTCTTTGGGGTGGCATCTTCACTACACCACCTGAGAGTTAGCTGCCCCTTTTCTCTGATGGGATAGACCTCTCCTCGACACTCAGCCCCAGGCAAGCTCAAAGAAACACAGCCCTGTGCTCAGCTTAGCCCATCCCCAGGTTCGCTGCCAGAGCTGACTGTGGCTGTACCTATCACCTCCGAGTGCAACTGACCTCAGCCGACTACATTGTCTTGGCCTCCTTTGAGCCGCCGCCCGTGACCATCCACCAGTGGAACGATGCCCAGTGGACAGAAGTGAGCCCACACCTACCAGCCTGCCCTGCCCATGGGACCTCGCTCTCCTTCCAATGGAGCAGAAGGCCTCCTACCTCATCGTCCTAGTAATCACTGACTCTCCCCACCCCCAGGTCTCCTACACCTTCTCAGACTACCCACCAGGCGTCCGCCACATCCTCTTCCAACATGGAGGCAAGGACACCCAGTTTTGGGCAGGCTGGTACGGGCCCCGGGTCACCAACAGCAGCATCATCATCAGCCATACGACGACCCGGAGGAACCCGGGCTCACTGTCAACTCATCCGGAAGACGAGGCAGGGGCAGGAGAAAGCTGACCACTTGTCCTCTCCTTACATCATCTGACTGACCACCCCACCATCTGCCCTCTGTCTGGGCAAGCCAAGGGTCAGAGTTCACCTCCAGGCAAGAGGTGAGCCTGCAGGGGCCAGTGAGGCCCAGTTCCAGGTATTACTGCCCAGTTCCCACCTGGGGAAAACGTACCATTTTGTGGTAACTTAACTGTCATGTAGTTTAAACTTTTTGTCACAATAAATGTTTACAGAAAACCAGCCTTGGAGTTTGTTGGGGTGGGGGCAGGAGGTCCCCTTGCCCAGATTAATTTGGCTGCACCTGTCTGTCCCTCCCACTCCGGTGATTGACAGCCCCACACAGCCCTTGATGGTAGTAGTGTGCCGTGGAGTCAGTTCTGACCCATAGCGACCCTGTACAGGGTTTCCGAGGCTGTGAATCTTTACTAGAGCTGAAAGCCTCATGTTTCTCCCGCGGAACGGCTGGAAGTTTCAAACTGCTGACCTTGCGGTTCGCAGCCTGATTCGTAACCACTACGCTACTAGAGCCCCTTTATTGAAACAGCTCACAGCACAGTATTGGAGACAGACAGAGTTGGCCAGCTGAGCTGCAGAAGGCCGGGAAATCGAGGGCCCAGCCCCTCCATTGCCCTCCCAGAGTCCATGAGGCGCAGCCATGGGCAGTAAGTAGTCCAGCCAAAGAGGCAATAAGAGCACTTGGAGTAGGGGGCCTGCAGTGCCGCCCTAGGCTGGGGTCCCCCCAAGTCCAACAGGTGTGACATCATTGGGGTGGCCGGCACACCCTCAGCTGCTTTTATGCGCTCGCTCTTCTACATAGAGCTGCATCTGATGGAAGGAGCAAATGGCCATGGTCAGGGTGACAACCAGGACTCCTATTCTGGAGGGTCCCCAAGCCCCCAGCAAACAGGTCTCTGCCAAGAGTGGGGTAGCCAGAGCCAGAGGTTAAGAGTTCCTCTCCCCCTCACCCCCAACCAACCCTGGATCCTCAGACCCTCTGGCAAGACCTCAGGACCGGCCCCATCTCTCAAGTCAGTCCCCTACACCAGCTTCCCAGAACCCACCTTTAAAATGTCAGATGTCATGGTTTTCAGGGGTATCAGCCGAGGGTCATGCATGTGGACATCCTGCTCATCTGCCAGAATCCAAGGAAAGTCCTGGGGAGGGGGACAGAATGAGAGGACGGAAAGGGGCTGGACACTAGTGGCCTGCCCTCACATCACAACCCTCTCCAGGCCTTGTGATTTCACAAGGCCACAAGCACCACTTCTGACACCCCCTCCCTGAGGAGCCGGCCCACTTCCGAGGAGCCAGAGTGAGAAGGCAGCCCCAGCAGGTGGTTCGGCCCCCTCTCAGCTCTGCTCCAAGATGGGTCAGTGGCAGGCATGTGGCCCCATAGCTCCCATGCAGGGAGGCCCAGCTGTAAGCAGTGGTGTGGGTCCCAGCCTGCTGGGACTGTGGCACTAGGTATTGACAGGCTGTCCACTGTCTGCCCCACCACCTCCCCCAGAGCAGTCTCCTCTCACCTTAATGACCTGGATCTTCTCCATGTTGCGGGTGGCAGCTTCTCTCGTGTGCACCAGGACTGTGAAGGTACAGCCTGGGGAGGCGACAGGGCAGTCAAGGCCGGGCTGCCCCAAGCCAGGCCCTCAGCATAGCCTCTTTCCACCTCCCTCTCCTGTTGTGGTGCTGTGGGCTAACAAGGTCGCTGGTTCAAACTCACCAGTCAAGCCATTCCTTGGAAACTCTATACAGGGTCACTATGAGTCGGAACCGACTCAACAGCACTTAACAACAAGGTAGCCCAGCAGCCCAGACTTGGGCCTCAGCCTCACAGGACAGAACCCACACTGAATGCTATAGAAATGCAGAGGGGAAACCAAAGCCAGGAAGATTCAGTCAGGGGCACTTCCTGGAAGAGGTGGGCTTTCAGAGGGGTTCTGAGGGCAGGAAGGAAGAGATGAGACAGTGCAGCCAAACAGGAACCTGGGAACACAGACCAACCCCAGGGGACTACAGAAACCCAAGGCAAAGGGGTGGAGCCCACCTGGGGGGTTGTGGTCTAGGACAGCATCACACACACTGATCTTCAGGATGAAGGCTCGGAGCAGCTGCTCTACATGAGACAGCAGGGAATCTGAGCTGGGAACAAGAGAGGAGGGTCTCTCACCATACAGGAACTCCCCCCACCCCCGCAAGTAAGCAACCCTGGAAGCAATCTGAGGGGTCAGAGTCCCTGCAATGATTCTGAGAGGGTTGGGTCAAAGAGCCTGGCTACTTAAAGTCAGTACAGTTAGAATCACCTGGGAAGTTTCAACCCCACCCCAGCCCCAACCCAGCGGAATTCAATCAGAATGGGGGTGGGGTGGGATGGATGGGTGGGACTCATTAGGTGATTTTAATGGACTCCTAGGTGGTGCAAAAAAAATTCAGGGCTCAGCTACTAACTGAAAGGTCGGAGATTCCAGCCCACCCAGAGATGCCCCATAAGAAAGGCCACTGACAACTCTCTGACTCTGTGCAGCCGAGCCTGAAAGCCAGGCCACAGGGCAACCCACTGGCAGAAAAAAGGTGGCCTCAGGGCCCTGACCTCGCACAAACCTGCCCAAAAAACTTCTAGTTTTATTTATGGGCTGGGTGCTATCCTGGAAAGCCAGGAAACTGGTTCCGCCACAGACTTGGGTGACTCTGGACAATTCATGTCATCTCTCTGGACCTTGCTTTCTCAGCTATAAAAAGAGGTAGGGTCACCAGTACTAGAAGTTTCCAGTGGGAGAAAAGAAGGTGTATGTGTAGCCGTCCACAGACGCTTGCTACATCTTGGCCTCTTACAAGCCAAAGTCTTGTTATGGCCGCACATCTTACCATTTCTCTTAGGTCTCTGGTCAGGAACGGTGGGGGCCAGGAGAGGTGGGTGCCCCTGGGAACTTCACACCAGCTAGCAGAGGCAGGAGAGGGAGAAGCAACTCACCTGATAGACAGCAAGGGAGGCTGGGTAATTTCAAAGACGAATTTCTCCACTGGACGGTGCTCTTTGTCCAAAATCACCACCACCACTTTCTCCACGTCATTCTGCAAAGATATGAATCACCCTCCAAAACCAGCACCCCACCCCACTCCTAAGGAAGGATGGGAACAGCATGGTACTGACTCTGCTCAGCCTCTAGGCTGAGGGGCATTGATGGCTCAGAAAAGTTTAAGAAGGTCAAATTGGCACCCCAGTCATGCGTGGTACAGAGATGCCTGGGTGTGTGTGTGTGGGGGGGGGGGGTCCCAGGAGTCTCATGGACCAGGATAAGATAGGAGACAGGAACCCTGAGGAGCCAAATCCAAATAAAACTAGAGGAAGCAAGGGGGAGAGTACCAGGACATGGTCCACATGTCCCAAGGTCTGTCCCTGGTGGGGGGGGGGGGGGTGGCCTCCAGATTTTGGATTAGACTTCTGAGTGTTGGAGCCATGGAAGCCCCATGGGTTTCAGCAACACCCCATCCTGGAGTCTGCCTGTGAATGGGAAGGAGCAGGTTGGGGCTGAGTGAGCTGGAGGGGCCTGATGCCTTTACCTTCTCCAGGAGCGGCTTGACGCAATGCAATGTGTCCTGGATATACTGGTTCAGCTCCGGGTGGCAGGACATCTGTGCACAACCCATGGGTTTAGTTTTTGGTGAGACCCACAGCACAGATGGGGAACCACCCAGCAACTCCCTAAGGGCTCCCTAGTCTGAGAACCCCAGCTTGCCATAATAGGCTAAATCCAAAACCAAACTCACTGCCATCAAGTCAATTCTGACTCATAGGAACCTTGTAGGGCAGGATAGAACCGCTCCATGGGGTTTCTGAGACTACAGATCTTTATGGGAACAGATAGCCTCCTCATCTTTTTCCCACAGAGCAGCTGATGAGTTAAACCATCGACCCTGTGCTGTGGTTAGCAGTGCTATACCTAACCCACAGTGACACCAGGGCTCCTTGAAATAAGGCTTGTTGTTAAGCGCCGTGGAGTCAGTTCTGACCCATAGCTACCCTGTATAGGGTTTCCTAGGAGCAGCTGGTGAGCTTGAACCACTGACCTTGAGGTTCAAACTGACTTTGCAGTCCAGCGCATTAACCCATCATAACACCACATCAGGACCCCATAATAAGGTTAAATCCGGTGAATTTACCCCTAAGGAATAGAAGCTGGGAAATTAGGGTTCAACCTCAGAACTAGCATTTGATACAGCATTGTTAAGTGCCAATCAAATCAATGCCGACTCATAGCGACCCTGTATAGGGTTTCCAAGGAGTGGCTAGTGAGCTTGAACCACTGACCTCGTGGTTCAAACGGACCTTGCAGTCCAGTGCATTAACCTGCAGTGTCACACCAGGTTTCCCCACCATCCCAAACTCAGGCACTTATCCTGGCATTTGTTAAGTACCTGCTGAGTGGCAGGTACCTCTAGAGACTCGGGATAGAGCAGGATTGCTTTGTCTGTTATTTTAACCTAAAATCACCCATCACAGTTCAGAATGAGTAAGAAGGAGAAAGTGCTAGAGGTTATTAAAAAAAAAAAAAAAACCCTCTCCAAACCAGTGCCTTAAGGGGACACTTTAAAATGCAACCATGCCCCCAGGGCAACTTGAATTGGACACCCATTGGTGTTGCACTGAACTGCTAACCCACAGCTGCTCCTCAGAAACCCTATCCTGGGTCACTATGAGTCAGACCTACTGGGCAGCGCTCAACAACTTCTGGTAGGGGGAACTCCAGGTTCTGAGAGGAGGTAAGACAATGCTGTAGAAGTGAAAGGTGGAAAGCTGATGAACTTTCTGCAGCTGGGAGCACTAAAAGGCCTGGGCAGCCTCTAGGGAGTGAAGGGGGCTGGGCCTGAATGTGGAAAACCAAAAATCAAACTTAGTAGTATCAAGGTAAGTCGATTCGACTCATAGCAACCCGATATTGGGTTTCCAAAACCGTAAATCTTTACGGGAGCAGACAGCCTCATCTTTCTCCAGCAGAGATGCTAGTGGGTTTGAACCACCAACTTTGTGGTTAGCAGTCTAAGTGCCACCAGGGTTCCTTAGAAGATGGAAGAGGATTAAAAAAATCCTCTACCTGGTGGGCGATTCTGTGGCGACCCGCTAAACATGGGGGGTGTAAAGTGTAAAGTGCCCTCCAGTGGCCCTAGCCGGTTGGTGGGGCTCACCTGAACCGGTACGTTGTACTTCTTGCGCTTCTGGAAGATGCCCACCGGGTAGACCTCGCGGACGTATAGGATCAGATGCACAGCTACCTCCAAGAACTCGCAGAGCACGTCGGCCACCACTGCAGAAAGGGCAGGAGCCGGTGCGCTCAGGGACGCTCAGAGACGCCCGACGGCCCATACCCCCTACCCAGTCTCCCTACCTTGGCCAAAGTTGAGGTCCTGTCGCGTGAGTGTGGTCATCCTTCCCTCCACCTGGTGAGGCAGGGGCAGGCTGTAGTTCCAAAGGCCCAGGCAGTGGCAGGGCCCGCCTCCACCTCCTGTCCTCTCCCCTCTGTCGGGAGTGCTTTAGGCAGGACGGTCCCCTTCACACAGAACAGAGCAACTGCGCGGTATCCCTCCACGCTGGAGTCGCAACTGGAGGGCATCCGGTGCGCAGGAACAGCCTCTGTACACTGGTCGCCCGCGCCCTCTCGCCGCGATGTCTTGGGGGAAGGAAAGGCCCGCGCTTTGCCCGCAAAAGAGCCAGATGTGGGCGCCGAAGGACACAGCTGGAAGTGCAGGGCTGGGACTCACAGCGGGCCACCCAAAAAGCGAAACTAGGTTAGACTGAGTCCCCGCCCTCTCTCCGGCGGAAACCCCGCCCCTCTCCCCTCCCCGGTACCGCCTCCGGCCTCGATTACGGCCCGGCCTGCAGCCGGGAGCCACCAGCCGCAACACTTGTGCCTCCGGCTCAACCTGCGGCCTCGGCGCAGCTCGCTGACGTCGGCGGCGCTCTGGCGGGTCCTAGTGCCCGCCCATACGACCACGCCCATCCCACGCCCAGCCCCACCGAGACTCGGGGGCGGGGCTTTGGGTGAGCCTGAGAAGTGATCCCTGGGCCTCTGATTTGCTGATCATGCCACTTCCTTACTACCTCGAGTGGAGAGGAACAAGACAATTTTGGTTTCCAGGACAGATCTCTACGTCTTATTCCTGTCTTTTTAGGGACACTGGAATGGGTTGCTAGTGAGGGCCGGGTGACTAAGTCAGTAACATCTATTGTAAACTCTGAAGTCACCATCTCTAGACTCTCAACTGCCCAACACAAAGCGAACTCACGAGTTCCGGGGTGGAGACATAGAGGACAGGGGTGTCGGAAGGCACAACTAACCAACCCCATTGGTGTTGTTAAATGCCATCGAGTCAGTACCGACTCATAGCAACCTTATGCACAACGGAAGGAAACACTGCCCGGTCCTGGGCCAATCTCACAATTGTTGCCATGCTTGAGCCCATTGATGTTGCCACTTTGCCAATCCATCTTGCTGGGGTCTTCCTCTTTTTCTCTGATCATCCACCTTACCAAACATGATACCCTTCTCCAGCGACTGGTGTCTCCTGACAAGCTCTCTGAAATATGAGAGACAAAGTCTGGCCATCCTGGCCTCAAAGGAGCACTCTGACTGCACTTCTTCCAACACAGATCTGTTGTTCTTTTGGCAGCCCATGGCACTTTAAATATTCTCCTCCAACACCATAACTCATAAGCATCAATTCTTCTACGGTCTTTCTTATTCACTGTCCAGCTCTCCCATGTATATGAGGTTATTGAAAATCATGGCTTGGGTCAGGCTCACCTTAGTCCCCAAGCTGACATGCATAGTACTAATAGCTGGCCTCTTTAGAGCACCAGCTGTGTGCCAGGCACTGGACTATGTGCCCGAGTATTAGCTCATCGAGTCCTCAAAACAGTTCCATGAAATAGTAGTTGTGATTGTTTCTTTTACAAATGAGCCAAATAAAGTCCAGAGAAGTGCAGTTCCCTGCCTGGGCCACAGCTAGTGAGGGGAGGGGCGGAGCTGTAGAGGGCCCTTGTGCATCCTCTTTACTGCTCTTGTGTCCCAGGAAGTCAGGACTGATCTGAAAGAGCTAAAAAGTCTCTCTGTGATGATGACAATATTAAAGTAATAACTAGCATTAATTGAGTTCTTGCTGTGTGTCAAACACTGATTTTTTAAATTCCTGTATTAGCACTAGGAGCTAAGTACCCATTCCCAGTTCCACTTTATAAATGATACAAGAGCCCCACAGATGTTCTGGAATTCACAAAGATCACACAGCTGAAATTCAGATCCAGCTTTGATTATGGGGCTTCTACTCTAGCGTAATGGTTACGAATCAGGCTGCGAACCTTAAAGTCAGCAGTTCGAAACTATCAGCTGTTCCGCGGGAGAAAGATGAGGCTTTCTGCTCCCGTAAAGATTTACAGCCTCGGAAACCCTGTACAGGGTCGCTATGAATTGGAACCGACGCCATGGCACATCACCACAACAAACTGCTGGCCTCATTTGAGAGGTGGGGAAAAAGAACGAGGATCAGAGACGTGCCCACAGAGTGATGGGCCATAACTATGGCCAAAACCAAAGAGACCTGGCTCTGACCTCTGACCTCGAGGGATGCCAGTTCTAATTAGAATTTACACACATCTATTTACCCCCAGATCTAGCCAGCAATGAATACCGTTTACGGCTCAGTATTGGAAACCTGCGCACGCGCACACGCACACGCACACGCACACACACACACACACACACACACACACACGGCTGATTTGAGCCTGCGTTTACCCACTTGTGAAGGGGAGCAGGATGGGAAGGGAAGAAATAGCCTGACCAATAAAGCCAGGAATGCTAGCAAAGCATTTCTCAAAATTCAGTCGTTGGAAATTCACATCAGAATCCCTGAGGAGCCCTGAGCCAAGTGAACTGAGTCAGGATGCACCGCAAGGCACTGACCTTTAATAAGTTCTCCAGGGGCTCTGATGCCCAGGAAAATGTGAGGATCACCACAATGGGTAGTCCTGCAGCAGTAGGTTGTTCCCAGGGAATGTTTGCATTTCACAAGATTGCAATGCTTAACCCAAAGGAATGGATGGTTTACTTAAGCAACTGAAGCACCTAACAGCATATCTTGGGGACAGAGACCATTCTTAAGACTCAGGACCCTATCCAAGTCATGCACTATAAGAGAGGACCACTTCCACACAGAGCTAATCAAGCGGCTCACTGTCTTATAGGCGGTGTCCCCCTGGCTCCTTGAGATGTAGTCATTGATGAAGCTTTGGCCACTTGGAGTAAAACGGTCCTTCTTGTCCCTTTGGAGACTCAAGTAGCATTTCATTGGCGACAGAGAGTAGCAGGGGGCACTTCATTATAAAGAGTTCCTTTGGATTGGTTGGATGGGAAGATTCAAGCCCAGCTACTCCTGTGGGGTGGCCCCCTGTGCACAGTGTGAGGGACAGGGAGACTCAAGCCAGGTCCTCCCTCAATGATGCCTCAGTCTCAGTCCTGCCTGGGGAGGTCAAAGGACAAACCACCTAGAGGTGTCCTGACACACAGAGCCAAAGAACCTCAGAGAGTATACCACTCAACACTTCTGAGACTGAGATCCCAAGAGCCTTTTTTTGATACCAGGGAACCCACCTTGTCAACTAGAAATCTGTGGATAAAAACGACTGAATTTAGGGCTTAGGATTCAGGGCCTGTGACAGACGGGGCAAGTGAGACTGGGATGCAGATGAGGAGGATTCAAGTTGATCTGACCCCTATACCCCAAAAAGAACTCAGCCTCTTCATTTGTGAAAGGAACAGGCAGGACCAGATGTTCCTTAAATCTCTGCGGGCCTGGGTGTCCATTGGGGCAAAAAAGCTGGGGGTGGGGCAGAGGGCTGAGTCAGTATGGGGCCCCAGGGGAATACGTTAAGACTCATCTGTCATTTCCATCAGGTTCTATGGCATCTGTTTATTCATATCTTAATCACATCAGCATGATGGATAGTCCTGGCACCCAGATTACATTATAGGGTTAATTTATTGCATTTTTGAATACCCGTTTGCTGGGAGACTGTTTTTCAAAGTTATTTGCATATTTTTCACCATAATGACAATATGTAGGAGGGCGTCTGGGAGGGAAGGATGGATGTTTAGGAGGAGCATGAGCTTATTTGCCAACTGGAGTGGGTCCCTAAGGGTCTGCAATGAGGATGAAAAGAAAATCACTCCCAAGAGACATTGAAATGCGAACTGAGAAGGCAAACTGCAGAGTGTGCGAGTACCAAGGGGCAGAAGCGGATTCCTGGGGCTGAACAAACACACAAGGAGTGAACCAGGCAAACCCACAGGCAATGAACTAGAATTGGACAGACACCCAAAACCCCCTCCTACACCTGCTAGGCTGATCACATCATCTATCCCAACCCTGTCTGAGGTTCCCAGAACACCAAACTTGTTGAGTGAGGGGAGAGTTGCAGAGAACCAGCCACACATGTTGTTGTTGTTGTTAAGTGCCGTCGAGTCGGTTCCGACCCATAGCGACCCTGTACAGGGTTTCTGAGGCTGTAAATCTTTATGGGAGCAGAAAGCCTCATCTTCCTTCCAGGGAGTGGCTGGTAGTGTCGAACTGCTGACCTTAAGGTTCGCAGCCCGATTCGTAACCACTACACTACCAGAGCTCCTTCAGCCACACATAGACTAGTGGTAATTCCACTGGTACCCTGATGCGCCCTGAGCAGGGAGTCAGCTTCATTCATTCTTTCACCCTAACATCCTTCCTAGTATCTGGTCCAATTTAGGTTCTCCATGACTGTGTGTTAAATGAATGACAAAAAGAAAAAGAAAAAAAAAAAAATGGCGGTGGAATAAAATTATCACCAGTGGCTCATGCCACATGCTTGACTTGAATCCTAATTTAGTGTGGATAAGGAGCAAACCAAAACCAAACCCCTTGCCATGAGTCAATTCCAATTCATGGCACCTCCATCTGTCACAGAATAGAAGTGAGCTCCATAGGGTTTTCTTGGCTGTAAGACTCCACAGCACATAACAACAACAACAACAACAAACCTTACAGAAGCAGACCATCAGGCCTTACTACTAAGGAGCCAATGGTTGGGGGGAGGGGGGAGTGGAGATGGGGGTTTGACACACTACTACTTTCAGTTAGTAGTCAAACTGTTTGGACCACCCAGGGACCTTCTTTATACACAATTCAAATAACAACAGAAAATGTGTTTGAATGGTTTCCAAGTCCTCCACCAATTAGCAGCACAAAATGAATATGAATAGAAGAGGAAGAAAAGAGCTTTTAGATTGAAGCAAATACACAGTTTGCAGTAGTGACATTAGACACCTTCCAGGAAGGTGGAATGGAGGACAGTTTAAGGGAGGAAATAGTTGGCACTGGACTACTAGCAGTCCCCAGCACTGTTCTGGGCACTGAGAATACAGTTGTGAATAACGTGGATCTAATTCCTGCTTTTACGGCATGCATTCAAGTGAGGCAGACAAAAGATACACACGTGAACAAATAAATATATACTGCGTCAGGTGGTGATAATAAGGACTATGAAGAAAAATACAGCAGACTAAAGAGGAGAATATTGAAAGTCATATGAGCTGCCAAAATAACAAAGCAATCTGTGTTGGAAAAAATGCAGCCAAAATGTTCCTTATAAGCCAAGATGGCCAGACTTCATCTCTCATGCTTCAGACATATTATCAGGAGGCACCAATCCCTGGAGAAGGACATCATGTTTGGTACAGTGGAGAGTCGGAGAAAAAGAGGAAGACCCCTCAATGAGATGGGCTGGCACAGTGGCAGCGCCATGGGCTCAAAAACTAGCAATGGTTGTGAGGTTGGCACAGGACTGGGCAGTGTTTCATTCTGTTGTGCATAGGGTCACTGTGAGTCGGTACCAGTTCGATGGCACCTAACAACAAGGACAAGGAGAAGGAGCCTTGGTAGGGCAAGGGTTAAATACTCAACTGCTAACAGGAAAGTCAAATGTAGGTGGTTGAAACCCACCTAGCCACTCCTCTGGAGAATGACCAGGCATTTGCTTCTATAAAAATGACAGCCTAGGAAACCCTATGTTGAGTCTAGGAACCTATTTTGTTGTTGTTAGTGCCGTCAGTTCTGGTTCATAGCGACTCTGTATAAAATTTCAGAGGAGCAGCTAGTGAGTTTGAACTGCTGACTTTGCAGTTCAAACCGACCTTGCATATCCTGCAGTCCCACACCAGGAGTCCAGGAAGCCCTATGTTGTTGTTGTTGTTAAGTGCCATCGAGTCGGTTCCGACCCATAGAGACCCTGTACAGGGTTTCCAAGGGTGTAAATCTTTATGGGAGTATAAAACCTCATCTTTCTCCCGCGGAGCAGCTGGTAGTTTCGAACCGCTGACCTTAAGGTTCACAGCCCAATTCGTAACCACTACGCTACCAGGAAGCCCTATAGGGCAGTAGTATTCTGTCACATGGGATCACTAGGAGTTGAAACTCAACTTGATGATACCAACTAACAACAACAGAGAAGGTGTTATTTCTCATAAGGTTATTAGAAAAGGGCTCTGTGGTGAGGCAAAGAAAATGAGGCCTTAAGCCATGAGGCTGTGAGAGACAAGAGATGCAGCATGGCAGAGGGAAGAGACAGTGCAAAGGCCCTGGGGCAAACCATTTACGCCACCCATTGAATAAATGGATGATGTGCAAAGATCTCTAATTTCAGCACTTGGGCTGCAGGTGGGGGTGTGTGAAGAACAGTTATCTGCTTTTTTCACAACCCAAGGACTATGAAATGCTCCCCACAACCCCCAGAGCCTGTTCATGAGTTCAACCTGCTGTTTCCTTCACAGACTCAAAACTTGCTGTTTCCCTCACAGACTCCATCCCCAGTACTGCCCCTTAACCAGATTTGAGACCCCTCCGTCTCTAAACCTCAGTTTTTCTTATCTGTAAAGTGGGGATAATGAAAGCACCAGTTGCATAGACTTAAAAGCAATGACATAATGTTTGCAAAATATGAAGTGCAGAATGCTTGGCATAATAATGCTCAATTTGTTGCCATTATGACAATGGTATGTTTGACTAAAGTCATGGTCTTTATAATTAACTCATTTGCATGTGAAAATTGGACAATGAAAAAGGAAGCATTTGAACTGTGGTGTTGGTGAAGATTATTGAATACACAAAGTGGATTGCAAGAATAACAAACAACTAAATCCATCTTAGAAGAAATGCAGTCAGAAGGTTCCTTAGAAGCGAGGATGGTGAGGCTTCATCTTGCTTACTTTGGACAGATCATCAGGAAAAAACAATCCTTAGAAACGGGCAGCCTGATTGGTCAGAGAAAATGAGGGAAACCCTCAGAGAGACAGATCATGGACACAGAAGCCACAACAATGGATTCAAACAAAGCAATGAGCATGAGCCTGGCATACGGCTTGGCAAAATTTTGTTCTTAAATTGGGCCAACTTAATAGCTACAGTGGTGACATTAGTTCATTTCTGTGGCTTTCTGCCTCTGTTATTTGGAAAAACAGACGGAAAGATTTTCTCCCTAAACCCTGAGGAATTAACCTTTGCCCTAGTTTTTTACCCCAGAGGGTTTGTTACTTTTGTCCAGGTTGGCTGGCATTTTCTGGGCAAACTGTTAACAACTATCAAAGTTTGGCTTTGATAGTTTTGTTTCATCCTAGACTACAGCCTGCCCTGTGATTGGTATGCACTTTGAAGGGATTGGTAAATGAACTATACAAGTGATGTGAGTTGTAGCTTATTATGCAAATGAGTGTCTGAGGTCTACAGAGACAGAATTGATCAATTGGTGCATTCTTTCACTGAGAGGGGCTGTGACTTGAAATTGACAACCCTGAAGAGGTTTTTCAGACAGAAAGAAGCAAGAAGAGAACTGGAAAGATGAGAGACAGACAGACAGACGAGATACACACAGAGACAGACCGACAGAAAAAACAAGGAACCTCCTAAAAGAACTCTAGCATAAGTCAAGGGCTGTAGCACTGAAGACAGCGACAGGCCTAGAATTGGATCCAGCAGCAGAGCCAGCAGTGCCCAGAGGAACCTGTCCTGGGATGCCCCCCTTAGGGGGCCAAAGGGAGCCTGTCCTCAGGGGGCTGAGAGGAGGCCTGCAGGGGCTGAGAGGAACTGAGAGAGTTGTTCTACACTGAAGACAGGAGATTCTGCCTACAAGCTTCCTGACCCTGAGTTCTGCCCTGTTCCCTAGTAAAGCACCTGAGTGCCTGTACGGCGTGTGAGTTCTGTGAGGCCATACAATTAGTAAACCCAGTGGAGGTGGTGGTTATGTGCCGTGGAGTCAGTTCCGACTCATAGTGACCCTGTACAGGGTTTCCGAGGCTGTAAATTTTTATGGGAGCAGAAAGTCTCATCTTTCTCCCGCGGAACAGCTGGTAGTTTCGAACTGCTGACCTTGCGGTTTGCAGCCCAATTTATAACCACTACGCTACCAGAGCTCCTTAGTAAGCCCAGTAGAGAAGGAATAGCTGGCGTCAGAACTTGTAAAAAGCTTGCAGAGTGGAGAAATGTCTGACCTCCACTCATAAGAATCAGCCTTGGGCTGATCTTGATTTGCGTTATCTCCCCTGAAGTTAGACAATTTCAAATAGATACCACTACTCCTACCATTTCACAATAACAACAACAATTCAGATCTATACTCAGAAAGAGGGTGAGAAAGGATATACAACTCAAAGAATATGATCACTGTCACTGAATTGTACATGTAGGAAACAGTGAACTGGCATGTTTTGCTGAGTATATTTTTTGAAAAATAAAAGATTATATGTGCTTGACTGCAAGGTCAGCTTGAACCAGAGGGTCAGCATCTCAAGCTCACCAGCCATTCCTCAGAAACCCTATATAGGATTGCTATGAATGGAACCGAGTCGACAGCACCTAACAACAACAACGTATATATGCACAATCTTATCTTTCATACATATATATGAAAATCAGTGCACATTACGCAATGGACTAGCTAAAAGGGCCAGGACAGTGCTTTTCAATAACCCCAAATCTTCTTTAGTTGTGCCCTTCACTATTTCCATTTCTCAAGGCAGCAGAGAGCCCTCAAGGTGTACTAGGAGAGGACACACATCTTTAAGGCGAGAGATAAAGGGTTATGGCCCACTAACAGCTCCTCCCTGGTCTGGCCTTCCACTGATCTCAGACCCAAGCTGGAGCCCTGACCTTAGGCTACTAACCAGGGGCTGCTTCCAATCATTCCCTCCATGGGATTCTGCTGACTCCAAGTCTCACTGATACCTCACTGGTCAGAGACCTTGCTGATCATCTCTTCAACTTGGAACTTCTCCCCTGAGAACTATCACAAAGACACAAAAAATTTCATACAATTTTAGGGATTCCAACCTCTGAAACCTGAGTCCTGGTATGGCGCTGTGGGTTAATGCACCAGACTGCAAAGCCGTTCGAACTGCAAGGTCGGTGGTTCAAGCTCACCAGCTGCTCCTTGAAAACCCTATACAGGGTTGCTATGGATCGGAACCGACTCAATGGCACTTAACAACAACAACAACAACCTCTGAAACCAGGCTAAGAATCCTTGATTTAGCTCAATGTTCACATTGAAAAAACAAACAAACCTGTATTCACAAACCATAAAGTTCACCCCTTTAAAGTACACAGTCCAGTGGTTTTTAGTACGTTCACAAAGGTGTGCAATTTCCACTGTCTAATTCCAGAACATGTTCATGACCCCCCAGTCCCTGGCAGCACTAATCTACCTTCTGTCTCTATGTGTTTGCCTATGTTGGGCATTTAAAATCAATAGAATCATACACTATGTGGTCTTTTGTGTCTGGTTTCTTTCACTTAAAATAATGTCTTCAAGATTCAACCAGGTTGCAACATGTATTAGTACTCAATTCCATTGTGTAGCTAGACCTCATTTTGTTTATCTATTCATCAGATAATGAATATTTAGGTTGTTTTCACATCTTAGCTATTTAATGTACATGTTTTACAGGTGGGGAAACTGAGGCCCAATGTCACCATGATCCATGTGAGAGAGGAATCCAGACCTCCCTTAGCATCATTCTGGGAGAAGCTGGTGAACAGAGAGTTCAAGCATGTCACATGATCACCCAGCTGGAGGACATCACTGCAGCAGCATTTGAACCCTCGCCTGCAATGTTTGGGTTCTGGTTCAGTGATTGCACGGCCACAGCTTCAATCTGGAAGGGATCCTTCTCACTGCCCCCTACTCAGGTCCAATCCCCTATCACCTCTTCTCTGCCACTAACTCTGCTCCTAAAGAGCTCCTTGATTTTGCTCTTACCCTACGGTGGTCTATTCTCAGCGTTAGAAATCAGAGTTAACCAGTTAAAATCAAATTTGGATTAGGTCTCTACTATGCTCAAATCCCTCCAACGACTCCCATTTCACTCAGACTAACACCCAAGTCTTTTTTGTGACCTTCTCCAGCTCACATGGTCCTACTGGAACTTCCTCCCTGACCTCATCTCTAATACTCCCCACTTCCTCCCTGACCTCATCTCTAATACTGCCCCTCACTCACTAGGCTCCCGCCTCATTCAAACACACCAAGCACACTCAAGCCTCAAGACCTTTGCACCAGCTCTTTCCTCTGCCTACATCAGTCCTTTCCCACAAGCACATGGCTCATTCACTCATATTCTTCGCCAAAAAGAAACACCTCACCAAAGCGACCTTGTCTAGCAAGCTATGGAAAATAACCCCTCCCCCTTCAAAAGTGGCTTATTTTTTTCATAACTCTTCTCACCACCGGACATAACATATATTTATTTGTTCACATGCCTATCTTCTTGTCTCCCTTACTAGAATGCACTTCCCAGAGAGGAGGAATTTTTATTCATGTTATTCACTACTATGCCAAGCAGGGCTGGCACATAGTAGGTGTTTAGAAGGTATTTATGGGATGGATCACTGGAACCTGCCTGCTCACCAATCGAGCTAAGATTGTTACAATAACAATGGAGGTTAAATTTCCTGAAGCATTTCCCATGAACCAGGCCCATAGGGAAGTTATTTATTTACACTCAGCATCGCATTTAATCCTGGAGACGCGCGAGTTAGGGATAAGGATGTGCTCAGAGTGGTTGGACAACTTGCCCAAGGTCACGCGGACACGGCACCAGAAAAGGATCCAGGTATCTAGACTGACTCCAGAGCGTTGTTCGTAAACCTTAGAGCTATAATTTGTCATACTCTGAAAAAAGGAGAAAACGGTCGAAATGAAAGCCAGCGGGCGAGCTTTGAGAACCCAGCGAGACCTCCATTTCCCGAGGGTCTGGTCCCGCCCCATCGCTCTTTGATTTTTGCAACGCCCGCGGCCCCACTGACCCCGCCAAGAGTTATGGGGGCCGCGGGAGCCATAATCCAGCATTCCGAGACTCCCAGGGCCGGTGGGACAAGGCGCCCCGCGCGGTGATAGATGAGCCGATCTTGGACGCGGGCTTTGTCCCAGCAGGAGGCTTTGGACGGGGTGTGGCGCGCAGCGGACCGCGTGTGGGTGTGTGTATTGGGTGGGGAGTTGTTTTTCTCACTTTCCCCCCAGGGTGTGTCGTGGGGAAACACAGGAGCAGCTGTTAGAGCCCCAGGTGAGGCGGTAACGCCTTGCAGACCTCCTCTGCCCCCTACAGCGAAGACCGACCTCTCGGAGACCCCAGCCTCCAGCTCCGAGCACTTTCCTAAGCTACAAAGGCACCTCCGAGCCCTGTCCCGCCTTCCCCGCCCGGGGCATTTCTTCCGTCCCATTTGACAGCCAAGGCGGAATAATCCTTTTGGGGACAGGCCAGCCCCTGCCCGGCCAGACGCGGCCGCAGCTGAGCGCGCAGCCTCGATCCATTGTTGGGGTCCACCAGGGGCCCCCTCCCCTGCCGTGGCCCTTTGTCGCCCGCTACCCGCCGGACCGCTCCAGAGGCGCCACCACTGCCCGTGCCCCACCCGTCCCGCGCGCCCCGGGCCGCACTGTGGCGGCTCTCACGCACCGGGAGGAGTGGGCCGGCCTCGCCCGGTACCCGCACGGCCGCCCGGCTGCGCCCGCCTTTGTCTGCCTCCTTTGTCTGCCCCGCGCCCTCGCGGTGGAGGCGGCTAGGCCTCTGGGGAGCAGGCCTGGAACGCCGAGCGCAGCTGGTGAGGGCGCGCCGGCCGGGAGCGCGCGGGGCCCGGCCCGGCCTGGGGCTGCCCCCTCGGCGGGGGGCAGACGGGCCCGCTCCCCGCCGCTCCTCCCCGCCCTCTCCCCGCGCTCCCGCCCCCTTTCCTCTCTCCCTCTCCGCCCCCTTCCCTCCCGCCCCACTCAGCCTGGGCACATCCTCTGCCGCCCGCGCACCTCTCGGCGCCGTCTCCGCTCCGCCGCTCGGCCCTCGACTGCGCTTGGTCCCCGCGGTCGCACAGTCCCAAACCCCTGGGCCCCCGCCCCGTCGGCCGGACAGGTAAGGCACGGCCTCTGCCCGCCCCTGGCCCCGCCCTCCCGCCTCCCACACCTGGCTGCGCGCCCGGACAAAGGTGGGCTACCTGGCGCGCTCAGGGGCGGGGCTCGTGGGGGACTGAGGCTTGAGGTGAGGATGCTGATTTCTTCCCCTTCCTCGGACTCGTCTGTCCGTTGCCTCCACTCCTCACCGTATCCCCCTTGGCTCTAGGCTCCTCTCCAGCCTCCTAGTCCGCCCACCTTCCGCCGGACAGTCACTTTTCCTCGCTCTCAGACTCTGCCTCGCACGTGCCCTTGCCGCCCGCTCTGGGTCCCTGCTTTCACCCACTCTCCTCCTTGGCCCCAACCTTCTCTCCGCTAGGACGGCGTCTCTCTTTGTCTCTGTGTCTCTGAGTCTTTTAGTGGTCTCTGGGACCAGGAACCCCAGTGCCACCAGCGTTGGAAGGAGCCTCGAGGATACACTGAGCCCTGGGTAGAGCTGGGCAGAGCCCACCTGCCCCTTTCTAGACTTCCCAGGGGACTGAGTGTGTGGGATTTCAGTGCACTCCTGGCCAGTACCGCGCCCTAGCACCCCAGACGGCGATGGACGTCCTCCTCTGGACTCCGGCTTAGTCCCTGCTCGCCCTGAAGCCCGCTTTTCTTCACCCTTGGTCTCCGCAGCGAGTGGGAGGTTTAAGATGCGAGAGCGCTTGGGTTTCGCGCCAAGTCTTCCTTGCCTTCGTGCACTTGGTGCTCTCTAGCCTTCGCCTACGTGTGACTGCCTCTCCTACTCATGGAAAGACAGGACTTGGTCACACAAGAAGAAGTGTCCTAGTACCGGTTCAGCACCATTGCTCTGGGTCCATGCAAACAGACGTTAAAACCCTGGCTCTGGGCGTGACTTTGGACAAAGGAATGCACCCCTCTGAGCCTCAGTGTCCCCGTCATAAAACAGGGACAATAGTAGGACTTACTGAGTAGGGGTCTTTGGAATGTCAGTGCTATCACAGTGCTAGCCCACAGCGATGGCTCCCGCACTGGGGATGGAGGATGGGTGTTAACATTCCCTGGGGGGCTTTTGGGTAGGTGCGCCACAGAAAAGGATGAAAATTTTGAAGCATAGAGGCACTGGAGAGATGCAGACTTCTCTCCCATCACACTGCCTGTCACTCTGTTCAAGTGGGCATCTACCCTCTTACCAGCACTTTTTCTCTCTCTTCCTCTCTGCTTCCCTAAAATCAGAGTCAAGAAAATTGAGGTAAAAAGGTCTCTGCTTTCTAAATGAGACCAGGGTGCTGTGTGGCTACTGCCAACATCCAGCCATTCATCCTGAGATGTCTGTGGGACTTAGCCCCGGTTCCCAAACCTCTGTCTTGCACTCATTTCTTTTGGAACAGCACTAACTCACAAATCCTTTCCTCTGAAGGGATTATCTTGGTGGTCCCTGGACCCCACGCCCCCTGACCATCATCTATGTCATCTTAACAGGTGCCACACCATGACTCTGGGAGTCTGGCAGTGGTGTGGACTAAGTCGCTTAATGAGGCATCTGTCAAAAATGGAGGATCTTGTCCCAGCCTGGAAGGTTCCCCTGGCTGAGTTTTCATTTCAGTCACAGCCAGGGCTGGCAATTGGAGCCTTTCTCTTAAGAAAGGCAAGAAGGGGGCTGGGAACACCACACACACACACACACACACACACACACACACACACACACGCTTGTACATCATGTCATTCACTCTCCTGCTAAGGATTCTGCCTGGTGGACAGGCCTGGCTTTGATGGCCCAGGCTGTCCTGCCACCTCTGACCCTCTGCCTTCTCAGCCCACAGCCAGCTTCATGGCTCGGAAAGCTCTAGCAACCTTGCTGAGCTCCTCCTTGCCTCTGGCTCCTAAGAAAATGATGGCACCATCTCTGCCTTCCTCCCCTCCCTTCAATCCATCCCTTCTCTCCAGCCCCAAACTCATCAATGCCTTCTTGTTAAGTGCTGTGGAGTCGGTGCCAACTTATAGTGACCCTGTATAGAGGGTTTCCAAGGCTTTAAATCTTTGAGGAAGCAAAAAACCTCATTTTTCTTCCATGGAGTGGCTGGCAGGTGCTTATCATATGTAGCCACCATGCCCCCAATGGCTTCTTGTTGCCTCTAAATTAGAAAACTCCTCAAGGCTCAGACCTACCCCACCTACTTCCCACCATGTCTCCATCAGCCACGCTGAAGGAGCCTAGACGGTGCTGTGTGTTAGGTGTTGAGCTGCTAACCACAAGGTCAGCAGTTCATAACTCACTATGTGCCCCGAGGGAGAGAGATGAGGCTGTCTGCTCCTGGAAAGATTTTACAGTCTCTCAGAAACCCCATATTGGTTTGCTATGATCTGAAATGGTCTCCTTGGCAGTGGGTTTGGTCACCATTCCAAACACCTCCATGCCCTGCTTTCCTCTGAGCCTTTGCTAGGGTTCTTCCCTCCATCTGAAATGTCTTCCTTGCCCTGGGGTCCAGTTGCAGCCTGCCCATCCTTGAAGGCTGAGGGCAAATGTCTGCTCCATGGGAAGCCCTCCAGTTCCACTTGCCTCCATCTCCCAGCATGATTGGATATCTTCTTCCCTGGATGGGGGTTGGGTCTTGTTCTTCTCATCGTCCCAGTGCCTGCCTCACAAAAGGTGCTCTGCGTGCACATTGTGTGTTGGATGGAATCGTTGGTCAAGGAGACAGAAATGAATGAAAAACTGCAAGCTACGGAATCCCCAAAGATCTCTAGGCCAGGGGTAGAGTTACCCTAGAGCAAAGGACAACTGGCTAAGGAGGAGAGACGGAAGATGGAGCTCCTACCGAAATGAGCATGATTCCTATGTCTGTTTTCTAGAAGAGGAAACAGACCCAGAGAGGGATGTGACTCGCAAAGGTCGGGAAGTCCTTTGTCACCACTAAGGTTAGAGCTGGGCAAACGGTTCAGACGGTTCAAACAGCATCTGTGTGACCTAGGGAGAGTCCCTCATTTGTCCCAGCTTAGATTGTGAGGGAGTAGGGATCCTCATCCTGTCCTCCCAGACTCCACAGTCTGGACCAAGTAGGCACTCTCTCCAGAGAGAGGCCTTGGCATGTTCTCAAAGATGGTCACACAGAGCATCCCTGTTCTGTATCATTCAGGTAGGACCTGCCTTTCTCTCTTGCTGCCTCCAGGCCCTGACGTGGGGAGGTTTGACCCCCTACACCAGTCTTCTTCTCAGGTGGGCCCTTGTGGAGGTCACATGTCTGTGACCCATGGGACAGCAGACTCTCCCCAGGAAAGACATGGATGGTGGCTGAATCCTAGCCATAGGAGGCTCTGTCCACCATGAAGAGGTTCTAGCCTCACTGGCCCACTCTCACACCTCAATACCATGGCCTGACATTATACACCTCCCCTGGGGGTACAGGAGAGGAGAACTTCCTGGAATGAAGCCTCTCAGGGCAGCTGTGCTTGTTGTGTTACCACTGAGCCCTTTCTGATGCATAGTAATCCTCCACAACCAGGCAGAACGGCCCCCATAGAGTTTCTAGACTGTAACCAACAGATCTGTGTTGGAAGAAGTGCAGCCAGAGTGCTCCTTGGAGGTCAGGATGGCCAAACTTTGTCTCTCTTACTTCAGACATATTGTTAGGAGGGACCAGTCGCTGGAGAAGGATATCATGTTTGGTAAGGTGGAGAGTCAGAGAAAAAGAGGAAGCCCCCCAATGAGATGGATTGGCCAAGTGACAACATCATTGGACTCAAGCGTGGCAATGATAGTGAGGTTGGCCCAGGATCAGGCAGTGTTTCATTCTGTTGTGCATAAGGTTGGTATGAGTTGGTACCGACTCGATGGCACCCTAACAACAACAACAACAACAAGCAGATTACCAGGTCTTTTTTCCTATGGCGCAACTGCTGGGTTTGAACCAGTGACCCTGTAGTTAGCAGTCAAATGCTTAACCATTCATTGTACCACCAGGGTGTCTTCCCAGGGCAGCTATGATTAGTTAATTGCAGGACCTGTTTTTAGGTACTTTCTTTGGCTCTTGGTTGGCCTTCAGCACCTGTCTTCCTGAGTTTCACAGCAGCCTTGCTAGTATTCCTTACCCAGTGGTAGTATGAGGAGTGCTTTGGAGTCAGATGGCCATGTGTTCAGGTCCACCCAGGGGTGCCTCGGAAGAAAAGCCTATGAGCTACTTCTAAAAAACCAACCATTGAAATCCCTGTGGAGCAGAGTTCTACTCAGACACAGGGTCTCCATGAGTTGGCGTCAACTGGCACATGGTAAACATAAAGTAGATGTGAACCACTGTGACTATGATTATCTGAAGGAAAAAAAATATCTTCTAAGGGCTAAGTTCCCAGCAGAAAGGTGAAAATTTACAATCTTGAAAACCCTATACAGGGTCACTGTGAATCGTATCGATTCAGTGGCAGTAAGTTAGGTTAGGTTAAAGGTTAAGTTAGACAATGCATAGAAAGCTCTAGGCCTAGAATTGTAAGCTGGTACTGTACGATAAGCACTAGACTGCTAACCTTAAGGTCGGCGGTTCAGACCCACTAGCTGCTCCTTGGAAACCCTGCAGAAGGTCACCATGAGTTGGCATCAACTTCACGGCACTTAACAACAATAAGTGATAATCAAACATATTCATTTTTCAAATATAGGATCTTAAGCCCAGAGAGATTGATTGGCTTGCCCAAAGTCACACAACTATCAAATGTTGGAGCCAGGCTTCACATTCAGACATGTCTGAATCCCAGGTGTCTTTCTACTCACACCTGACCTCTGCCAAAGCCTCTGACAGCAGTTGTTTTGTCACTTGATGATTAAGAGGTGGCTCTGGCCAAATGGCAAGTGATGTTAAACTGTCTGGGCACCAAGATAATGGAGCTTGGAGAGGAGGGGGTTAGGGCTGTCTCTCCCTTCCCCGCACAATGCTTAGAGGAGAAAGAAGGGTGGTGGTGTTCATAATCCAGACAGAGTCAAGCAAGACTCAAGCTCAGGAGATAGGATGAGGAATATTGCGTGAGGAGAGCAGTATGGGGCCTCTGAGGAGTTCCCTCACAGCCCTACACAGGTTTTTTTGAGGTGTGAGGCTTTAGGCGTGGGAACTCAGGAGGCTGCTGTTCATAACAATAATAGCAGATGGAGCCAGCCCTGTAGGGAAGCCAAACCTCATCTGCCGAGACAATGGTTTTCTCCCTCCTCTGGCCAGTCAAGGGTGGCTGAGGGCCTAGGCCCGCCTCAGCCTGTCATGTCCCACCCACTGAAGCCATCCATCACCCCATCCAAGGATATAGCCACCTGCACCTGCCCCCTGCACAAATGCTTTCAGGAAACCTCTCCCCCGGAAGCCTTACTCTGTCTTTTCCCTTCTCATAATAGCA